TGGTGCATGGGTCAACACTCAACCACTGAGCCACACCGGCCAGGCCAAAAAAATTATTTTAAATAAAATAAAAAATTGATGGGAAAGGGACAAAATTGGGCAAAAAAAAAAAACAAAAAAACAATTCACAAAAATTGTATTAAAATGGTCATTAAGCATATAAAAACATGTTCAAATTTCTTTAAAGAATAAGGAAAAACTCTACAACCGATATGAAGTAAATTTCCTGGCTACATAAAGTGAGTGAAAGCAAAGCACAGGAGAATATCTATAGTATGCTACTCTCTGTGTAAGAAAAAGGAAATAAAATATACGTGTGTCTGCTCTGCGCATCTGTGCACAAGGAAACACAGGAAGAATAAACCATAAAGTACTGATGCTGGTTAACCAGAGGGCCTGGATGGAAATGGAGTAGAAAGGATGGTGTGGGGACAGGACAGGAGGGAGTGGGGAGTGTCGGTTCTCTGAGTACCCGTCTCAACGTACCTGTCTAAGTCTCAGAACCATGTTAGTGCTCCAGCAGTACACAAATAAAAACTACAAAAATAAGAGTGGGGCCCAAAATTAAATACAATAATAAAAAAAAAAAGAGTCTAACTGTATTTAAATAACACAGAGGTTGGGTTGGGGAGAGGAAAGAACTAACTCAAGTTACTTTTTGTTTGTTTGTTAATCCTCACCAGAGGATATTTTCACATTGATATTTTTAGATAGAGGGGAAGGGGGGTGGGGATAGAGAGACACATCAATTGGTTGCCTCCCAAACGACCCTGACGGGGCCCTGGGGAATCAAACTTACAACCCAGGTACATGCCCTTAACTTGGAATTGGACCTGTGACCCTTCTGCCCTCAGGTCCACGCTCTAACTGCTGAGCCAAACCAGCCAGGGCAACCCAAGTTACTTTTGAACTCAGTGTTTCAATCATATATCCTCAGGCTAAGGACAGAAACAGCTGAAGAAATGCTGAAATCTAGTTTGTAGGATTGTTTTTCACAGCTATGGATGAATTAATTCTGAAACTGTGTATTCTAGTATGATCAAATAAGTAAATATATCGTGGAGAACGGGAGTCTGGTTTCTCACTGTCAGCAAAGTTATAAATGTGGAAAGGGAGAAGCTAAAATTAATCCTGTTGGATTGCAAGTAGAGGCTTCAGCTTGAACTCATGGTTTTAGATAGACAGACAGACTGATAGATAGGAAAGAAAATAGAGAGAGATGTTGGTGAATGCATAATACACATTTCTAGTGCCTCCTACTGAGAGGGCCTGGACTCAATGACACCTTGGTAGCAATGTGCACACCTAGCACCCAGATCTTGGTTTCTAAATATTATTCTCCACTAGAAGGAAAGTAGGATGAGCCAGGAGCATCTTGCTGTGCCAAAAGAAAGTACTAAAGAATGACAGGGCCCTGGCCGGTTTGGCTCAGCGGTTAGAGCGTCAGCCTGCGGTCCGGAGAGACCGGGGTTCGGTTCCCGCTAAGGGCACGTACCTCGGTTGCAGTTTGTCCCCGGCCCTGGATGGTCGTGCGGGTGGCAGCCACTCGATGTGTCCCTTTCACATCGATGTTTCTCTCTCTCTCTCTCCCTCCTGCTCTATCTGAACAAAGAATGAAAAAGTGTCCTCGGGTGAGGATAAAAAAAAAAAAAAAGAATGACAGGGATCTCTCCAAAAGTCACAGAAGCCAGGTTGCAGAGACTCCTACTGGTCATACCTGGGATAACGTGAACATCAAAATTTGTCTAGCCGGTGTGGCTCAGTGGTTGAGTGTCAACCCATGTACCAAGAGGTCAGTGGTTCAATTCCCAGTCAGGGCACATGCCCAGGTTGTGGACCAAATCCCCAGTGGGGGGCATGCAGGAGGTGGCCAATCAATGTTCTCTCTAGTCAATGTTTCCATCTCTCTCCCTCTCCCTTCTCCTCTCTCTAAAACAAATGAAGAAAAAAAAGTTTTTTTAAATAATAATAATGACAGCCCTGGCCGGTTTGGCTCAGTGGTTAGAGCATTGGCCTGCGGTCCAGAGAGACCCGGGTTCGGTTTCCACTAAGGGCACGTACCTCAGTTGCGGTTTGTCCCCGGCCCTGGTGGGTCATGTGGGAGGCAGCCACTCGATGTGTCCCTTTCACGTCGATGTTTCTCTCTCTCTCTCTCTCTCTCTCTCTCTCTCCACCCCCTCTTTTCCTCTCTCTCCCTCCCACTCTATTTGAACAAAAAATGGAAAAATGTCCTCAAATGAGGATAAAAAAATAATAATGATGACAGTAACAAGTTATAACCCTTAAAATAAGACCCCATGAGCCCTGGCCGGTTTGGCTCAGCGGTTAGAGCGTCAGCCTGCGGTCCTGAGAGACCTGGGTTCGGTTCCCGCTAAGGGCGCGTACCTCGGTTGCAGTTTGTCCCCGGCCCTGGTCGGTTGTGCGGGTGGCAACCACTCGATGTGTTCCTTTCACATCAATGTTTCTCTCTCTCTCTGTTCCTCTCTCTCCCACTCTACCTGAACAAAAAATAATAATAATAAGACCCCATGAGACCATATTGGTAGAATGAAAGAAAGGAAAGGTCTTTCCTACCATAAAATAATAAATGTAGAAATTATAGGATTAGAAAGTCACCATTTGGCAACCACCACAATTGGGAGAACAATCTGATGAGAAACAGGATACACAGTATCAAAGTTCCTCCTCACAAGATACTTATTCATTACAAAGAGAGAAACAGAACTTTACAGTGAGCAACCTGGCAGAGGCAGACACCACCTTAACTAAGAGGTCAGAGTTCATCTCACCAGCTATGAGACATACGGACGTCACATGCTTGTTCACGGGACGCACTGAGGACTCAATATCACTTAGCCTGAGTCTATCATGAGGAAACCTGAGACAAACCCAGTGGAGGGCCAGGCTACAGATTCACTGGCCTGTCCTCATGAGATAAGTCAAGGTCATGGAAAACAAAGAAAGACTGACAACTAAATACAGTGAGTAATCTTGGATTGGATCCGGGATGAGAAAAACATTTTTTGTCTTTTGCTATAAAAGACATTAGCAAATAGGACATTAGAAAACATGTGAATAATGTCTACAGATTAGATAATGGTATTGTATCATGATTAATTTTCTGATTTAGTAATTATACTGTGGTTATGTAAGAGAACATCCATGTTCTTTTGGAAATACTCAATTAGATGGGCAAAAATCACCATACATACAATTTCCTCTCAAACAGAGTGTGTGTGTGTGTGTGTGTACAGAGTGGAGGGGGACAGAATCTCAATGATGGTAAAGAAGATCTTTTTGTATTATTTTTGCAACTTTTCTGTGAGTCTAAACTACACTAAAATTTAAAAAAAAAAAATTTAACCCTCATCTGAGGATATTTTTTCTTTTTTTTTAAAGAGAGGATGGAAGGGGAAGAGGAGAGAGAAAGGTAGAAACATCGATGTGAGAGAAACACATCAATTGGTTGCTTCCTGCATGAACCCACCAGGGCCAGGGATTGAACCTGCAACCCAGGTATGTGCCCTTGACCGGAATCAAACCTGCGACCCTTTGGTCTGCAGGTCGACGCTCTAACCACTGAGCCAAACCAGCCAGGGCAAAAATCTAACATTTTAAAAAATTAATTTAGACCATTTATTCACCTGCCCCGATCTCTCCAATCACTTATCTCAAGAAAAGCCAAAGTCCTTCCAGGTCCTAAGAGAAGTGCCCATCTCTACCTGCCCACCTCTCTCCTCTCATCTACTGCGGTCCTTGCTGTGTTTACTGAACCCCAGCCACTCAGGCCTCCCTGCTCTTCCTCAGAAACAGCAAGTATGCTTCCACCTCAGGGCCTTTGCACTGCCGCCCCCGCAGCTTGCAGTACATTTCCCCTAGACTGACTCACTCCTTCACTTCTTCCAGCCTCTGCCCAAATATCACCTGCGAGAGGCCTTCTCAGCCTTCTCCAACCTCCTCTAACCGCTCTGTTCTGAAGATCACCCCTGTCCTCATCTCTCCCCCTTACTTTACTCTGCTTCACCTTTCTTCCTAGCAGGAGTTGCTATTCCAGATCTGTTTACTGACATTCCCTCCTTCTAGGAAAGCTCTCTGAAGACACGGGCATTGTTTGTTTGGGTCCTTGTTGATACAGTAGGCACTCAGTGAACATCTGCTAATGACTGAACAAATGAAGGCTTTTCTCCCCGCCCCCCAAGGCCTCTGCTGCTAGCTGGGCTCACACATACTGACAACTAACCCGTGACCAGCACCAGCCTAACACTTCGAATTTTCTTTTCTTTATTGACTTTAGAGAGAGAAGAAAGGAGAGGGAGATAGAAACACCGATGAGAGAGAACATCAATTGGCCGCCTCCTGCATGCCCTCCACTGGGAATCTGGCCCACAACCTGGGCATGTGCCCTGACCGGGAATCAAACCAGGGACTTCTTGCTGCATGGGTTGACGCTCTACCACTGAGCCACCCCGGGCGGGCCAGCCTAACACTTTGTATACATTATCTCCTTGAACCCTCACACAACCTTCTGGAATAGAGGCTTTTATCTCCATTTCATTTGTTTGTTTATCCTTACCCGAGGATATTTTTCCATTGATTTTTTTTTTTAGAGAGAGTGGAAAGGAGGGAGGGAGAAGAAGGGAGAGAGAGAAAGAGAGAGAGACATGGATGTGTGAGAGAAACATTGATGTGAGAGAAACACATTGATGGGGGGCCTCCCAAATGACCCCAATAGGGGTTGGAGATCGAACCTGCAACCCAGGTACATGTCCTTGACTGGAATTGAACCTGTGACCCTTCAGTCCACAGGCCAACGCTCTAACTGCTGAACTAAACTGGCCAGGGCTTACCTCCATTTTATAGAGGAAGAAACAGGCTGCAAGAGGTTAAGTGCCTTTGCCCAGTCCTGTGGCTTGTAAGTGGAGCCAGAACTTGAACAGACCTGTGCTCCTAACGTGTCTCCAGTCCCGCAGCCCCTCCTGCCGAGCCCCCGGGAGACTTGCCAGCACAGAACATGTTGTCCGTGATGCGGATGCGGGTGGAGGCCTTGCAGACCGGACGCTCCACGATGGGCACGTTGACCACCTGCAGGACCTTGGGCTGCACCTCAGTGGCACTGGCTGTCCACGTCTCTTTCAAGTTGCCCCAGCCAGTCACTCGCCCTTTGTATCCAGACTGGAGCAACCTTTGGGTAAGAAAGATGGGCCTGGTGAGAACTGACCCTCCGGGACTTCTGCCTCCAACACCATCCCTTAGAGACCCGGATGTCAAACACCAGTGCAGACAGAACTTTGCGGTTTATTCCAAGAAATGGAATCCTGGACAAGGGAAAGACCTTCTGCAAGGCCTACCAGGGTCAGCGGGGCCCGGGACCCAGCCCAGACTCCTCAGCTAACAGCCCCCGCTGCCCACCTGGCTGCTGTCTGCTTGTCGGGCAGGCACACGGGGTGAATGTAGTTGCTGAAGGTGATGGGCTTCTTGAGCTTCAGCAGGGCAATGTCGCGGTCCAGGGTGTCCCTCCAGTTGTACCTGGGGTGAATGTAGATCTTCTCCAGCATGGAGATCTTCTCAATGCCTCGCTCATACCTGCACAGGCCCAACAGAGAATTGGAGAAGCCACAAGCCGTTCAGTGAAGACAGACGTTCCCTGAGGAAGGAGACTGCCTGCCCTCGACGTCTGGAAGTCAGGGGACCAGCAGGCCCCTAGCGAGGTGGTGCCTGGCAGCTCCCTGGTAGCTCCTCCTGGCCTGAAGCTGTACAGGGCTTTTTCATCCCACAGCCTGGGCAGACGGCGAGGGGGACACACACACACACACACACACACACACACACACACACAGGCTGTAGACTCTGGTCCAAAGACTTTCTTTTCAGAAGTCACACCTCGGCCATGTCCTGGTGTCGGGGGGGGGGGGGGGGGGAGGCGGGGGGAGTTAGGGATAGGCCAGGATTTCACTCTTTGCAAAGCCTTAATTTCTCTGACTCCAGCTCCAAGCTTAGGTCGGGTCATGGGACTCTGTGGCAGAGACCGATGGGTTTTCCACTGTGGGAGATGGACAGACGTGTCCCACATGCCCCAGAGCCCCTCACCATCACGCAGGAGGGCTGGGACCCCCAGAGCTGTACCTGGTGCGGGAATGCTTGCCAATGCGCACCAGAATGTCATTCTCGGTGAAGTTCTTGTCCCAAGGTGGGTACAGGAGACAGTGAGCAGCAGTGAGGACCCAGCGGTCACTGATGAGGCTGGCTCCGCACAGCAGCTCCTGGGGACTCTTCCGGAAAATCATCACCTGCCTGGGAAGGAGAACAGGAAGCATTAGAGGTGAGGACCTGCCCCTCTACCGGCCTTAGGAGCAGAAAGTCCCATTTTTTAAATTTATTTATTTATTTTTTTTATCCTCACTCGAGGATACTTTTCCATTTTTTGTACAGATAGAGTGGGAGGGAGAGAGAGGAAGGGAGAGAGAGAGAGAGAAACATCGACGTGAAGGGACACATCAAGTGGCTGCCACCCGCACGACCAACCAGGGCCGGGGACAAACTGCAACCGAAGTACGTGCCCTTAGCGGGAACCGAACCCGGGTCTCTCCGGACCGCAGGCCGACGCTTTAACCGCTGAGCCAAACTGGCCAGGGCAGAAAGTCCCATTTTTTTTTTTTTTTTTTATCCTCACCCGAGGACATTTTTCCATTTTTTGTTCAGGTAGAGTGGGAGGGAGAGAGAGGAACAGATAGAGAGAGAAACATCGACGTGAAATGAACACATCGAGTGGCTGCCACCCACACAACTGACCAGGGCCGGGGACAAACTGCAACCGAGGTACGCGCCCTTAGCGGGAACCGAACCCAGGTCTCTCCGGACCGCAGGCCGACGCTCTAACCGCTGAGCCAAACCGGCCAGGGCGAAAGTCCCATTTTTAACAGCTAACTGGACAGCACTGCCTGCTGGGCCAGACCCCAGCTTGCCCTGGCCACCTTTGGGGACTAGGCACCATGTGACAGCGAGGGGCTGCCTCCTGCCTCTTGCACACCTCCCCAGCTTCCACCAGTCTAGAGTTACACAGTTTAGCCCAGCGCTGGGGTCAGGTCCTGCTGTGGACTCAAACGCAGTTCTACTGACCCCAGAGCAGTCCATTAGCAGCTCCACTAAGGCAAGTCACTTAAACTCCCTGAGCCTCAGCTATGCCTTCTGCTTATGAGAACTAACAAACCCAGTCTCAAAAGAGATTTGATGAGACACTGGTGCTCGGCTCTCGTTATCTGTGAAGCCGAGGCCTGTGAGGGAAGAGAAGTCTCCCAGGGCTGGGGTGGAGGTGGGGGCTCCAGCCCAGTGAAAGTAGCTGGGGTCAGGGACCCACCAGGGTGCGAGACCGATCTCCGCGTCCCAGCCCTCCACGATGCGCCCCTCAACGTAGGAATCCAGAAGCTCCTTCTCTGTTTTGTCCTCCAGCCTCTTCTTCTCAAACAGAGGCCGCAGCCCACAGTCTGCAGAGCAAGCGGGGCAGTAAGGGGCTGAGGACAGCCACTACCCCTCCGCCACACACCCACCTGCCTGCAACCTCACCTGCCTCCCCAGCGCCAAAGGTCTTCTCATTGAAGAAGAGCTGGAACTCCTCTGTGGTGCTGCGACCCTCGATGGCCACATCCTGGTCCTCGCCCTGGCCGTCACTTGTCACCTCATCCACCAGCTCCTCTGCAGGGACCCAGGCACCCAGCTGGGACAGGACTGGGTGGCTCCTCACCCACCCCCTATATCTCCCCAAACCTTGGGCCAGCCTTAGAGACCATTGGTGTCTAGGTTAAGAGCAGCAAGCGCACCTGCGTTGCTAGGCAACTTAATCTCTGGAGCCTCACTGTATGCAGCTGTTAAATGGGGCTAGAACCTATTCCCACCTGGGTAATGGAAGGCTGTCCTGAGGTACTCACAGGTGCACGTGGTAACCCTTAGATTAGGGAAGGCTATTCTTGTTATCCCCTCCAGGCTGTGTGGCTTGTCTCAAGCCCCCAGCCCTGCCCTCTCACCGCAATAGTTGAGGTCACAGTACTCGAAGTCACCAGTATTCCTGCCCACGTAGCACCACACGCCCTCCTGGTCCCCGTCTGGGTTGCGACAGAAGTTTTCCACCAGTGGCACTTCTGGGCTGAAGTCCTGGTCCTTGCTCAGGGCCTTGGCCTGCTCACTGGCCCAGGCCAGGCAGGGGGACCCCTGCATGGTCACTGCCAGGTGACCCTCATAATGCCGGCCACGCTCAGGGACACACAAGTTTGATGGAGGTGACACATTCACTGTGGGGCTTTTGGAGCGTGGAGTGAGCTCCACAGTGACCTTCTGTTGGCCTGGAGGGTGAGGAGGCAAGGGAGCAGAGTGGGGGGTCACGTGTAGAGCCACCATCAGCACCTGAATCCCTTGCCTTGCAGCCTCCTTCCTGCATGACCCCAGGTGACAACCTCTCTGGGCGTCAGTGTGCTTGCCTGTGAAAGGGGTTACTAGTACTGTTCTTGCAGGGTTGTTAACAGATTTAAACAAAATAAATGCCATGTCTGGTGCACCACAAGCCCGAGATAGTGACCAGGTTTCACTTCCTATAATCTATCACGGGGCTATCTGCAATCTACTGGTAGTGACTGCCTGGAGTTTTTAAAGGATTCTGTGTTTTCATAGGGCACAATGGGAAGTGCAGCTGAGATGACTCAGGATGTCTACACTGGGCAGCAGGTCAGTTGCAGCATGCTTTCTCTACCTCTTGACCTTGACCCTGTGGTTGCTCTGGCCAATGGAACGTGGCAGAACTGACTGTGCCGCTTCTAAGCCTAGGCCTGAAGACACGTGTATTTCTGCTCACTGTTTTGTTCATCTGCCATCACCACGAGAAGATGGGGCTTGTCAACCCAAGCCCCAGAATGAGTGTGTGTGGAACAGACCTGAACCCAGTCCACAAAGGAGCCAAGCTCAGCTGGACCCATCATTTGAAGCAAAGCCACCAGCCAAGTCCAGGTTACATCATGGACCCCACAGACGCACGAGCAGTGCCACCCCAGCCAACCCTCGGACATACAAGAAATAAATACCTATTGGTGTATGCCCCTGGGCTCTGTAGTTGTTTGTGACTGTGGATTTTGCAGCATTACTGTGACTTTAGCCAACTGACACATCATGGGAAACGATAATGACAGGATCATGCAGGCTAGACAGTACGAGGCTTGCTCTGCGGTGCTCAGAAAAGGGCACGCGGACTGAAATGGTGAGGGAGGGCTGCCGGAAGGGCAGAGCGCCCCGAGCCCCCCGAGCGGGAAGGAAGGTGTATCTAGAGCGAGCCACAGCCTGGGTCATAAGGAAGTGAAGCTAGGAGGGAGGGAGGAGGCTGGAAGCCAACTCTCTCTGGTCTCCTGGCTTCCCTGACCAGCGGCCCAAATATGTGATAAACCCCACTTGAAGGGAGTCAAGATGTTTGTTCCTGTCCCAGGCTGCCAGGCCCCATGAAGACCTCTTGGGCTTGGCCATGGAGCGCCTAATGCCCCTGGCTCACCGCAGACAGGGATGCTGCACTCCTCCCTCCGCACGGTGGGGTCCGTAGTGTAGCACCAGGGCCCGGTGGTGCTGCCATCTGGGTTTCGGCAGAAATTCTCCCGCAGGTCTGCCTCAGGGTGGGTGGTGACGTTGATTCTGGAAAAGGAAATTGCTCAGCGACAGACCATGTCATGTTCCCTGCCAAGCCCCATCTCCTTGCTCCCCATTCTCAGCCCCCAGGCAGACAGACCTGCCCATCACTCACTCAGGCTTATGTGGGTAGCGACTTCTCCACAGCTGGCACTCGATGCCTGACCGGGTGAAGCTCACGTTCCCTCGGTAGTTCGTACCCAGACCTTCGGCACAGTCATCTGCAGGGACCCCAGGCAGTTTTCTTACCCTGAGGATTATACTCCCTCTCACTTAGCAAAGCTCTCCACCCCGTCCAAGCTCCTTCTGGCTCACAGCTCGTACCCCGAACTGATTCGCCCCTCCTCTGCAGCCAGCAGTTCTCCAATCATCTAACGGTAGTCACCAAATATTACTGAGTGCCCACCATGTGACAGCTCCCTGACGGGCACTGTGCCAGGTACTAAGGACACAGTGGTGAATAAGACATTCCTAGTCACGGCAGGTCCCTGCCCTCATGGAGCTTATACCCAGTGGCTCCTCGTGGCCAGCAGGATGAACAAGTGAATGAGGCCCAATCCGGCCGCTCCACCTGTCCTGTTTCTTAGCTCCCCACGCCCCGAGGCTTTTGCACATGCCCTTGTCTTTGCCAAGGCAAAGTTCCCAGTGTGTCCCACAAACCCAGGCTAACTCGACTTCTTCTAGAGAACTGTCACTGATTTTGTCAGCAAACTAAAGGCTCCTTCTTCTGACATTCTCTCGGCACCTGGAACAGAACTTTTCCAGTAATCACGCTGATGTTTTGTGATTTTGTGAGTTCCTTGATTCTCTTCAAACCCCCATCACTTGACACAGTACCTGGCACATAACAGGGGCTTGGTGCCATGTCTGTTGAATAAGTTATTTAACAAGTGAAAGTATGGACAGTAATTAAAGAGTTCCATGTTGCCCTGGTTGGTGTAGCTCAGTGGTTGAGCTTTGACCCACACCAAGAGGTCACTGGTTTGATTCCCAGTCACAGCACATGCCCAGGTTGTGGACCCAATCCCCAATGGGGGGGGGCATGCAGAAGGCGTCCAATTGATGTTCTCTCTCATTGATGTTTCTATCTCTCTCTCACTCTCCCTTCTTCTCTCTCTAAAATCAATTAAAAAAAATTTTTAATAAAAATCAACGCAAAAAATATCCTTAGGTGCCTGGCCAGTGTGGCCTAGTAGTTAAGCATCAACCCATGCACCAAGAGGTCACTGGTTCGATTCTCAGTCAGGACACATGCCCAGGTTGTGGGCCTGATCCCCAGTGGGGGGCATGCAGGAGGCAGCCAATTGATGTTCTCTCTCATTGATGTTTCTATCTCTCTCTCTCTCTCCCCTCCTGTCTCTCTAAAATCAATAAAGAAAAAGTGTTTTTAAAAATATATATCCTCAGCCCTGGCCAGTTTGGCTCAGCGGTTAGAGCGTCGGCTCGTGGTCCAGAGAGACCTGGGTTCGGTTCCCACTAAGGGCACGTACCTCGGTTGCAGTTTGTCCCTGGCCCTGGTTGGTCGTGCGGGTGGCAACCACTCGATGTGTCCCTTTCACGTTGATGTTTCTCTCTCTCTCTTCCTCTCCCTCCCTCCCACTCTATCTGAACAAAAAAATGGAAAAATGTCCTCAGGTGAGGATAAAAAAATATATATATATATATTTTTTTACATATATAATCCTCAGGTGAGGATTAACCAAAAAAAAAAAAAAAAAAGGTTCATGTTATGGGGCCTACTGTCACACTAACAGTGTATTCAAAAGGCTTGGCAAGGTGGTGGCATCTAAACGAATCCTTGAAGGATGGCGAGATTTCAGTAGGTTGTAACGACTGCTCTGGGGGAAGATGTAAGGAGCGCCAGGAAGTCTAACCCTCTTGGCAGGTTTCAGGAAGTGCAGCTGGGAGTTTGGGTTCACGGTTGGTGCAATGGGAGATAAGGCTAAAAGGGGAGGATGAGAGTGAGGCCTTAAACAGTAATTCATTGTCCATGCATTCCTTTGTCCCTCTAACATTATCATCTTACTGCACAGAGCCAGGTGCAGAGATACACCCTTGACTGCAGGAACGGAAAGTCAGTGTCAGATGCTAGGGGCCGCCACTGCTGGGCCACCTCCTCATCCACCCTCCCTGCTCTTCTCCCAGGCTGTCCCCTTGTGTCCTGTCCCACCACCCTCACATCAGTTCCTCACCTTCCAAACACTTAACCAGCTTTTCTCGCGATGTCTTCACCGACTCACAAGCTGGAAAAGACCCAGAAACACCTTTGGGATTAGGGTAGGGACAGGATGGGCTCAAGTAAAGGGCGAGACGACATTCAGAAAGAGAGAGAGACAGACAGACGGATGGAAGGAAAGAGGCATGGGTGGGGGGGGGATGAAGCGATGGACCAGGCTCTCCGACGGGGTCCCCAGGACACCTTTCCTGAAGCGACCTTTCCCACTGCTCACCTGTGTACTTGACCCAGAATGCATCCTGAAAGGCAAGAGCTGAGTGTGAGGCTGTGGCAGGAGCCTCTGGTGTTTTTTTTAGTAAATGTTATGTCTCCTCACACTCTCCTTTTCCCCTTACCCTGGTCACACGGGGGCAGGCTCTGGGCGGTCTGTGGCAGAGTTCCCTACTTTAGTTTCCACACCCACTGAGGAGAAGGGTATTTGAGGAGAGGGGAGCTCCCCCCCAGTGAAGACTGAAAGGGGTTCTCCTGGTCTCCTGGGTGGCTGGGCGGGAGGGGAGGGGCATGGGGCCCTGGCAGTGGGTCCCAGACAGAGCCCCAAGGAAGGGAAAGGCTGCAAGGACTCCCGGCCTCCCTAGAGGCCCACACCCCAGGGGGGCACAGAGTTCGCAGAAAAGCCGAAGCTGAGAGGCCACGGTGAGCCAGGGGCTCCAGAGACCCTTTGTCTGAAAACCGAGAGGCCCTGACGTCCGGGAGCCTCACGGGCCCTGGGACCAGGTGTCGGGACCGCCAAGAAAACTAAGGCCGCTCATCTTGGCAGCCAGTGAAACAGGGCCCAGAGGTGGAATTAGGTTATGGAGAGCCGTGCTGTCCTCCTTCCTCTGTGGTCCTAGCGGCCCAGGGGAGGGACCAGCCCGCACCGTCTTGATGGCCGACTCCAGGGCCTCGAAGGCCTCCTCGTAGCTGCACTGCTCCTCCAGGCACTCGCGCTCCAGGTTGCCCTTGCGGAGCTCCTCCAGGAAGCCGCTGTTGGCCCGCCGGGCCCGCTGGAGCAGCGACAGCGCTCGCTGAGGGGCCAGGAACACTGCGGCAGGAGGGGCGTGCGACAGTGGCCTGAGAGAGCCCGGCTCTCGGCCAGCACGGCTCCCGAAAGGGGATGTCTGGGATGGCGGCAGGACCCCAGAGGCTGCTGACAGTAACCCACTGGCTCCCTCCTTTCACTGGTCACCCCAGCCCACTCCCCGTACTGCAAGGGAGAAGCAGTCGTCATCCATCGAGCCCTGAGCACTGGACTCCTTCCCTAAGCGGGAAAACCTGGGCTGAGGCCCCCCTGGAGGCTGGCTCTATGTTCTCTGTGGAGCAAGGGGACCCCTGCCCTGGGCTCATCTCCCAGTCCACCAGCCTGTCCCAGCTTCCCAGCCCCCTTACCATGCTGGCTGTGCACAAGGCTAACCAGGGCAAGCAAGGCCAGGCAGCCGGGCGGCCACGGCCCTCGGACGTGCGCCATAGTGTGTCGGCTCCCGGACTCTCAGGGCTCACCCTGACCCCTCTGGGTTAATGTTAAACTGATATGAAGAAATCAGCTGCGAGGAAGAGGTCAGCAGGTCAGGGAAGCGAGAACAAGTGGATAGTCCCCTCCACCATCTTGGGGGACAGGTCCTCCTAGGACCAGGGATGGATGGTCTGGGGGGAAGTCACAAAGGAAAGACCAGTGTAGCCCCTCCTTCCTGAGACATGAGCCAACTTGGGATAGTAGGGTCACAGGTCTTCCTGAGGCTCCTTCCAATCCTAACACGTGGTGATGTGTGCCTTGGTTTCCTCATCTGTACAATGGGAATAATACTTTGATGTGAGGAGTAAAGATTATGAACATAAATCCCATGAAATATAGTAAGCATTTAATAATCAGTAGATACATGAATGTAAACCAATGAGGTTTGTGTAACCACAATACACAGCTATGAGAGACAGGGTGTGGTTAGATGAGTGCTACCCACCTTGCCCCAGGATGCACTGGGGGCAGGAATGGCCAACATTTGCCCCAGTCTCTCAGCCACTGATACAGGGTCCAATTTCCCCTCCTGCCCATCTGGGGAGCTGTAGAGGTGTCTTTGTGTATAGTGGCTGCCTGGGAGGTAGGGCCAGGGCGTCTTGGGCCTCTGCTCTGTTTCATCTCCCAGAACCTGTTGCCTGGCTGAGACTAGGGGCCAACCCAAATCCCCAGGTCCCTGAGGCAGGGCCCCCCCCTCTCCTCCTGCCTGCCTGCCCGGGGCCAGACTAGGGCACCTGGTGGCTCTACGCAGCCCCTCCTCCATTTCCTGTTTGTAGAATGCAAGGTAAATATTAGTCCTGGGTCTAATTAGGACAGAGGGACAAAGAGCAGAAACACAGGGAGCACAGGTTCTCGCCTTGCCCTCCTTCAGGCCTGGCCACTCAGGGTGTGAACTGCGGTCATGTACTGTCTGGGAAGATCACAGGGAGGGGCCTGGTACACGGAGGGAACAAGAAACTTCTGACAGTGTGTGATGAACAGAAATTATTTTGCAATCAGGAGGAAAATATTTTCTTAATTAAAGGAACATTGCCCGGATGGAATGGCTCAGTTGTTTGAGTGCCGTCCTGTGCGCAGAAGGGTTGCCAGTTCGATTTCTGGTCGGGGCACATTCCAGGGTAGCAGGTTTGATCCCTGGTCAGGGAACATGCGGAAGGCAGCCGATCAATGTTTCTCTCTCTAAGAAATATGCACATGTATTCCAGTGACCCATCTTTCCAAGAACAGTCACTGCTTTTTATTTTAGCTGGAAGAGCACTCAATCAGGAGTCGGAAGACGGGCCCTGTCCTGGGTCTGCTGCCCACTGTCTCACGCCTTGGCGGTGACTTCCCTCTGAGCCTCCGTTTTCTCATCTGTAACAAGGGCTTGAGCCATGCTCTCTGGGGCCTATTCTCACTTTACTTATGAGTGTTGGCAGAGCAGAGTCTCCCAAACCAGGTGCTTTCAAATTTGATTTTTTTCATTTTTATTTTTAGAGAGAGGAAGGGAGAGAAAGAAACATCAGTTTGTTGTTCTACTTATACATTCATTGGTTGATTCTCGTAGGCGCCCTGATCTGGGATCAAACCTGCAACCGTGGCTTATTGGGTTGACGCTCTAACCAACTGAGTTACCCAGCCAGGGCCCAGTGTCTTCAAATTTGTTGGCTTTGATCTGACCCCACCCTGCACCACCAGGGACAGCTTGAACTGAGAGAAAGGTTCTCCCCTGTGTGGGGGATGTCGCAAGGGGGTGCAAGCATCCAGCGTTGGCCTGAGGATGGTTGTGGAATGTCAACAGGCCTCCCCAGCAACTCACATCCCTGCTTCGCCACACGGTTCTGTCTCGAGCAATGGGTCCATCCCCGGGATACCTCACACTGGGCATATACTTCCGAGTGATCACCCAAGTCAACATGGCCCTGCCTGACACAAGAGCTGGAAAAAAAGATTAGACCTATCAAGCCTCATACAGGCTCCAAGAAACGGGGTTGGATGATTAAAAATATCAGCAATTGTTTTTCAGGCTTTGGATGGTGTGGTTTTTCTCTCCACGGATCACAATTTCCTGCTGTCCTCCCTCTCCTTGGAAAATTTCAGTTATGCTTTGCCAAGAACTTCTTCAGATTGGGTGGCTGGCTGGGTTAATGCCAGGGGCAAAGTGGGAGACATGGGGCTGCTTCTGACATTGTAAACAAGGGCTGGGAAGCTGGAGAACACGCCACATTTCAGTTCTGGCTCTGCCGTTCACTGATGAAGGGGCTCAGAACAGGCCTACCCAAGATGTATCCCTTCAGCATGTGGATTTTTTTTTTTTTTTTTTTTGAGCTGAAGGTAATTGAGACCCTGTGAGCTTAAAATAAACTTTTAACTGTCCCTTAAAGGATTTAAACCTGAGGCCTTGTCCATAGTTATAACCAGAAATACTTTTTATGGCCTATCTATAGGACAGGGCAAACTTTTAATTACTGAACATCTATTCTTATCATCCTGTGAATGACCTTCAGCCCCTCTGAAGCCTCAGGACGAATGACCTCATTTCTTGGTTCAGGGTGCCATATGTACCTCATTTTTCCTTTCTATCTCAGACTCTCCCTTTATGTGGGGTTCCTGTACATACCTGTGTAATTAAATTTGGTTATTTCCTCTTGTTAACCTCTCACATTGATTTAATTTATTAGACCAGCCAGAAGAACCTAGGAGGGTAGAGGAAAAATTCTTCCTCCCCAACACTGTACGAGCTTGGCCAGTCACTTAGCAGTTCTGAAACTGAGTCCTCATCTGTGAAACAAGAACCACAACACCGATTTTGCGGGACAGAAGGACCTAAGAATCCATGTTCTCCAGCTTCTCTTGCCTCCCACTCCCCACAGCAATCCAATCTGGCTTCCAGCTGCTCTCAGCTCACCAGTGACTGCCACCAATTTCAACCCTTTCAACAGCAAGGGACATTGTTGCCACTTCTTCCTTATTCAGACGTTCTTCCCTCAGCTTCTGTGACACACAGTCTGCAGGTTGTTGTTTTGTTGAACACTGATTTCCTCTCCCCTGAGGAGCCTTCCTCCCCTCGGTGAACATGGAGGGTGAGCCTCCTCCTCTCTGCTCACTCTCCCCACTCCCACAGCGTCAACGACCACCTTGTTGCAAGTGTCTCCCATGCACCAACCCACCGCAGACCAAAATCCTAACTGTCCTACTCTCACCCTGGTGCTACCTAACTTGCTAAGCCAGAAAGCAGTAGTCAGATCTCTCTCCAACTCAAGTCTTTGAATCCTGCCACTTCTACTTCCCAGAGAACGTACCCACCCGGCCCTTACCATGGCCCACAGCGCTCGTCCTCCCGCTCCTTCCACAGACATCAACCTGGCTCACTCCCTTCCACGGTACGGGGCTCTGATTGTACCACATTGCTGGAGGCCTATCCTGACCACCCTTTGCAGAACCACACTCCCCATTTTACTCTCCTCTGCATTTCCTGTCTTCACTGCATTTACCAGTCTGACATGTGTTTACTGTCTTTCCACACTAGAATGTAACTATATAAGAGCAGAGACTGTTATTACTGCTGGATCGCTAACAACTTACAGGAAGTGCTCAGGAAATGTGTTGGATGAATGACTCCACTCCTCTGCTTTTCCACTCTGACCACCCCATTCCAGCCACTTCAGCAGCCTAGGAAGTATCCCAACTGCACCTTGCCCGCCGATCTTCTCCAGTGGTCTCTTCACACACAAGTCTGATCATGTCATTCCCTCACTCAAAACCCTTCAAGGAATTCCTAGATGTCTTGAGAATAAAGTCCAAACTCCAGAAGCAAGGCCTGTGTGACCTGGCTCCGCCCCTCTCCTCTCATTCCCTTTGCTCAGATTCCTATCACAGGGCTTTTCCCCCCATAGAGCCCCACGCACCTCTTGTACCTACTCCATGAAGATGCAGCTGAAATGAGGAACACAGAGTACAGAGGTTAAGAGCCTCACTCCAGTGCTAGACTACTAATCTGGGTTTGAATCTTAGCTCTGCCAGTAAAAAATCTTTGCTCCTCAGTTTCCTCATCTGTGAAATAATACAACCAGCTACCTTACAGGGTTGCTATGAGGATTATGTGTTAATTCACATAAAGGACTGGCCCACAGTCGGGGTTGGGGGTTTACTATCACTATTATTCCTTGGGGCTGTGTCCCGTGATGCGCCAAGTTAAACCGTCCCATGAAACACATCCACAGCACGGTGTGATGCTCCTCTCTGAACTCTTACCAGTGCTTCCTGCCCGCGGGGGACCATGAGCTCTGTAAAGGGGCACTGCATCTGACGGTCTTGCTCACAGCTGTGTCCCCAGCACCTAAGGCAGTCCAAGCCCACAGTAGATACAAAACACCCGTTAATTCCCACTCCTTCCCTCACCAGGGCTGCCTGTGAGCCAGGGACACAGAGGATACAGATCAGGCCCTTCCTAGACATCTCCAATGAGTCTGGTGTCCTTCTGCACAGAAGAAAAACAACTTCACAGCCCTCAGCTGGTAACAAAAGCTGCTCAAATAACCTATGGCCTGAATTGCAGAGACTTGTGAGCTGTGAGCTAAGCTCAGTCTCTGACCTTTTAACCCTTAAATCACTCAGTCTGGTACCAAATAGAAGAGTCCGTCTCTCGGGCAGTACAATGGGAGTGACGATCCCAGCACGAAGCACCCAGCAGGGCAGCGGCAGGCTGCCAGCTACCTGACTACCTCACTGCGCGGGTCACTTCTGAAATGCTTAAAGAATAAGCACCTTGTGGAGTTCCCAGGGAGAATCGGAACAAGCTCTGCTGGAAGTGGATACAAAGATCTTAAGAGGTTTACCTTCAAGTACTGGGAAACAACTTGTTTGTCTACAAGCAGGAAGGGAAGTCCTTGACCTGCTTCTCCCAATACTCTAGTCTCTAGCAGGCAACCCAAAGAGTAAGAAGATCCAGACACCCAGCACCCAGAAAACACAGCCTTTATATAGAGCTCTGCTAGGGAAAGGGGAGGGTGTCAGGTGCCCGTCTCCACCTCCACCACTTCTGCCCAGGTGCTAAAGCTCATGTCCTTATGGATGAGCACCAGGCTGGGGGCAGGGCCCGGCTCCTCGGGCACCACAAAGCACTTATCCTGGCTCTCAGAAATGGTGACCTCGAAGACGTCCGGGGCTGGAGAGACGTCCTGTTCATTGCATATGTTCAGCAATTCTGGCTCAGTCTGCAGTAAGACCATCGTGGGCTCAGAAACAGCAGGAGGCAAACAGGGTGGGCTGGAGGATGCCCCCGGCTGGTGACTAAGCTGGTGTCGCTTGAGACTTTGGGGGAGGGTGTAGCCCATGCCACAGGTGGGGCAGCGGTAGGGTTTGTCGGCTAGGTGGGATTTGAGGTGGCGTCTCAGCTTGGTAGCCAGTGTGTAGGCACGGCCACACTGGGGACATGGGAAGGGCCTCTCCCCTGAGTGCAGGCGCTCATGAGCACGCAGTGTATGTGGGTCTCGAAGGGCCTTCCCACACACGGGGCACAAGTGGGCCTCCCCGGTGTGGGAGATGAGATGGCGCCTCAGTTCAGGCAGCTGGGGGAAGGCGTCGGCGCAGTGTGGGCAGCGATAAGGGCGCTCCCCTGTGTGCAGCCGCAGGTGCCCTCGCAGGTTGCCCCGCTGGCGAAACGCCCGGCCACAGTGTGGGCACAGGAAGGGCTTTTCCCCCGTGTGGAGCCGCATGTGGTTCCGCAGGGAGCCCTGGTTGGCGAGGGGCCGCCCACATATGGGGCATGGGCATGGGGCAGGGGCAGCTGGCACCTGGTGGGTCTTGCGATGTAGTCGCAGGGAAGGCCGGCGGGCGAAGGCCTTGCCACACTGGTCACAAGTAAAGGGTCGGGCACCTGAATGTACTACCTGGTGTTCTTTGAGGTCCCGTCGGGTGCCATAGGCCTTGTCACATTGTGGACAGGGAAAGGGCCTCACTCCGCGGTGGCCCAGCATGTGGGCTTTGAAGCTCTCCTCTGAGCTATAGCTCTTGCCACACTCAGTGCAAAGGAAGGGCTTGTGGCCCGTGTGCACAAATGCATGCTTCTTTAAGTGGCACAGCTGCAGGAACGCCTTGCCACACTCCCCACACCGGTACCGTCGTCCCTGTTTCAGGGAGCTTCCTGCCAGGACAGGAGGGCTCCGCAAGTGTGCAGAGAAGCTGGGGTGCCGCTCTCCATCCTGCTGGGCCTTGGGCTCCGAGGTCTTTGCTCTGGGTGGGCACTGATCACTGGGGCTCCGTAACTTCTTGACCAGGTGAGCATGCAGCTGGGTGCCGCTGGCAGAAGATGAGGAAGTGGCCTCAGTGCTCTCTAGGCCCCGCTGGGTAGTGGAACTGCTCTGAGGTTCAGCTGGCATCTGTGTCTGGGGCGGGTCCATGCTGCCATCCTGAGATAATGGACCAAGTGATTGGCTTTCCTTGCAAAGTGGGTCCTGGGTTTGGGGTTTAAGTCCAGAGCTCACCATCACCTCTGCCTGGATGCTGGGGGGTGACTGGTTACCAGGATCTGTGAACAAAGAGTAGAGTGCTGGTGTCAGTAAAGAATGTAGCAAGTGGTGACAGTGGTGTCACCAGCAAATTATAGGAATGTGTCTTCTCCTATTCAGCCCTGGACTTCAGAGGGAGCAATGGCATCAATCTTTTCCCTGGAGCACGGGCCACACACTCCATGTGTCTTCCTATCCAGTCTCAGGTGCCACCGGGGGAAGCACTCCCGGAAGCCACACTACCCCAGACATCTGGACAATCCCTACAGTAAGGCCATCCCAGAGTCCCCTTGTTCTCCCTCTGGAGACATGCACTTAGGGTAAATTGAGACCACCACCTGTCCTCATCTTAACTCATTTAAAAGTAAAGGAACCTATGCATAACCAATGGACATAGACAACAAAGCTGGGGATGGGGTGGGGTTAGGGTTAGGAGGAGGGTATCAATGGGGAAAAAGGAAAAACAACTGTAACAAAAATAAATAAAAATAATTAAAAAATAAATAAATAAAGGAACCAATCCCCACCCCAGAAAGAAAAAACGTACTAAATTGGAAACCTATACAAAGCTTGCTGTCTTCAACATGACCCACCTATTCCTGGAAAATTATTCAGGAAGTTACATATGTTGTTCATCGTAAGGAAAAGACTCATCACTCTTCAATAGAAAGCATCAAATGACAGTTTACACCATAGGACTCTGAACCTCTTGCCTGATAATTCTAGCCTTTCTGTGCCCATAAATCCTAAGCTAGGATTATGGCATGCCTCTTAGCAAATCCAAATCAAGTCCTGCCCCTATACCACACTGAAAGATCCACCTTATACCAGACTTCAAAATTTCAATAAATATCCAGGTTCTTCCCTCCCTCCTCAGAAAAGCTACTAAGACTCTGTAGTGTTCTACCTTACCTTCTTAAGCCATAAGTTCTGCTTGGTTTAATCAATAGGTTGTTTGGTGATAATCTGGGAAGTCAGCATTTATTTGACACATACCTGTACAAGGTTCTCCTGCATCCTCCCCAGGAGAGGCCAATTCCTGTTGCACAGCAGACTCCATTTCTGTCACCACAGCCATGGCTGCCTCTTCTTCTAGCCTGGGCTGGGTGGCGGGGAGGCCCTCAGAGGGAGACTGGGGCCACAATAGCAGCTCAAAGCCTGGCAGCACGACCCGGTACACCTGCAGGTGAAGCCTCTTGCTGATCCACACCGGGGCCACGTTCCCCTCATCCTCGAGCCTGCCCCGCTGCACCAAACTGCAAAGCAGAGCAAGAGCTAGATCAAGAGACCCTCTTCAAGCGGCCCTCCCTGAACGCCCCAGCTCTTGGTCAGCCTGAGGCCTAAAGGGCCCCATGTCTTTGGAACATTCACTGCAAAAGATGATCACTGGGTGGGGCATTACAGTCGGCTTCCAGTTCCATCCCATGCCACTCAGAAAGCCTCAAAGGAGCAACTTGATTACACACTCTCCTGTAACTTACCTGGTCCAGCCTGAACTCTGCTCACAAGCACACACGTCTCCCCATGGGCCTAGTGACACATCCTGAAATAAACCAATAAAAGTCCTTCTCCCATGTGTCTGAGGGGGCCAGAGTTGGGGTCAAAACAAAAACAAAACAGATGTAACCTCTCCTGAGACAGACCTAAGATGAAGCCCCTGGAAGGTTAATGGTCTCTGATTCTGCCTATACTAGACTGTGTTATCTAGTTTTTCATTCAGTAAAGACCAAAAAAACTGTCCCCTCGCCTCCCTCCCAGGGTGTGGAGAATTATGAAACTGAACACATTACTGCCTTCCAGTGAGTACCAAACAGAAAAAGTAGTAAGAGAAACATCAACTATTTTTTAGTACCTTTTATGCAACAAAACCCTTTACCCATATTATTTCATCTATTGCTCCAAATAATCTTGGAGAATTAAAGTAAAGGAAACAGCCATTCCTTTGTTTTACATAAGTTAAACGAGACATGTTATCTAACCAGCTTAAGTACAAAAGCTAGGATACAGTCCCATGGCTCTTTAATTCCAAAACCTTTGTTCTTGACTTTGATCAATAGTGACACTAGCCAATAACAACTTTTTAGCCTCTCAATTCCTTAACTACTGCAGGTGAAGGGATGAGACAGTTCTGGAGAGAAATACAAAACCATCTCCTATCTTCTGAAATGCCCTGCTTCTATCAAACTGGAGAGCTGTCCCAAAGCTGTCTGATTCGCTTCCCAGTTTTCAATGGCAAAGATTAGACACCCTATCCCTCAATACCTTCTCCTGCCGTGGTTTCACCCCCTCGCCCTTCTGCTGGGAGACAGGCTCCTCTTCCAGCGGCCCCCAGCGCAGTCCCGGCTGCAGCGGCTTCCCGACGCACCAGACCCCCAGGCGCGGTTCCTCCGCGAGCGAGGGGCCAAGGGCTAAGCCCCGGGGGAGGCTCTTCAGGGCATGGGCAGCTCGGCTCGACCGCGGCGGGAGGACTTTGAGGCCCTGGGCACAGTCTTCTCCAGAAGAGCTCCATCCTGAGCCCGGGTCCAGGCGCGGATGGGGGGCTGCAGGGTGACAGGACGGCAATGAGGGGGTGGCCCGAGAGGTCACGGGGCAGGAGGTGGGGGTGGAAACCACACATCCAGGCTGGCCTCAGGAGTACGTATGAGGGATCGATAAGGGCTCCAAGGAAGCCCCTGAGAATTTTGAGGGGGTTCCAGGGCTCTGAAGAAGCCCCCAGAGACTCTGAGGGCACAGAAGAGGCTCCGGGGCTCGGGAGGAAAAGGAGCGGGGTCAGAGAGTTGTTGACCAGAGAACGTCGGGTGTATCTAGGCCACCAGGGCCGAGGGTCGGCGACATCGCAGGTCACTCACCGAACTGCAGTCGCTCCCCCTCCCAGAGCAGCTCCTCCGCCTCCTCCATCGCGGGTGGGAAAGCCTCCCTCCGCCGGAAATGAACGTAGCCTTCTCAGCTCCTCCCGGAAACAGTCATGGACCGCCGAGTTTACTCTCCGGGAAGAACCGTAAGAGCCAGACTTCCTCAGTGCCCAGGACCGGGAGTTGAGCAGTAGTGGTGAAGCAAAACTCTGCCAGAGCACCATACGAGTTTAGGATTCCGGGGGTCCACCAGGGTCTCGAGTATCAGGGAGAGGAACCAATAGTTCCCGCTGCCTCCTCCAGGGAGAGACGAGTCGGACGGTTACGCGGTCCTCATCCCAGGCGGGCACGTACAGGAAGTGGGCGTGGCTCCAGGAAAGGCCATGTTTGGAAGGGAGACCAGGTCGGAAGTGGGTTGGAGGTGTGGCGGAAGTGGGTAGGGAGCGAGGAGCCCCAGAGTGGGTGGTGCCCGTTCGAAAGCGGAGCCGGATGTTTGCCGAGCTTTGACAGGCGTGGCAAAGGGAGCAGTGCCCGAGCACGGTGAGCTGCTGGGCGCGGGGTCTCCCAGGGTGGTGGAGGGGGCAGGGAAGGGACTGGCCTGGTCATCTGAAGGGCTGGGGTCCGGATGGGGAGGATCCAAGAGGATCCGAGGAAGGGAGGAGGGGTGGAGTGCGGCCTGGGAGCCTGGCCTTCCTGCCGCGGGAATTGTGCCCCACTCCGGGTCTGCAGTGAGGAGACTTCGCTTCCTTCGCTGCCTTTCTCCTGTCCTCCCTAGGGCTGAGTCCAGGTGAGATCGCGGCCATGGACCAAGCCCACGGGAAGGGAAAGTAGTTGCCCTGCTCCGATCTGGCGAAGCGGGAAGGAAAAGAAATTTGGGGGAAGTGTTTCACCTTGCCACCTATCAGGCCACACTTTTCATCTCTGTTTCATAATCAGTGTACCCAGTCTGGGTTTTGTAAATCACTGACCGAGCTCTATGCAAACGTGATTGGAGTTGAATGTCTTTGTGTTGTAGCGGAGCGTTTCGTTTTGATCATTCTGGAGCTCCCAGGAGAACGATGCCAGCGCCAGAGAATGCGATTTTAAGTTGTTACCTCAGTTATTTTCGGAGGACATTAGGGGAGAGGCTTTATTTTGCCTTTTTGTGGAACCTCTCTGAACCTTGAGAATCACATGAATGACAGCCACTTAGAGAAGGATTGAAGGATTGACCTGCACATTGAGACCACCTTAGACATGTATTAAAATCTTGACTCTGCTGTATGACCTACGCAATTTGCTTATTTTTCTGGAGAACACTGTCCTCACACTGTAAAATGGGCCCAGCGGTACATGCCTCGTTGGTGCTCTTGTGATGTTAAAAGATAATTTATGTCCACTTCATGGTGCTATACAGACCTCAACAAATGTTGGTTCCCTTCTCCACTTAGGAGATGGATTAATTCAGCCAGTCATTCAACAAATTACTGAGCAGCTAGCTGTATGTGTCAGGTATAATTCTGATACAGCTAGCTATATGTGTTAGATGTAATTCTGAATAGGTCAGGGGGTCTTAAACAGAGATTCTTAGCAGGCATGTGAACCACTTAAAATTTCCTGCAAGATTTCATGCAAGTGCTGATTTTTCTCAGGAAAAAAGACCACAAATTTTGTCAGAATTTCAGAGAGGTCCAGATTTCCCAAAGGTTAAAACCTCTATATAAAAACTGCTTAGAGTGAGTCCTGAGATTTTTATTTTTATTTTATTTTTTTATCCTCACCCGAGGGCATTTTTTCGTTTTTTGTTCAGATAGAGTGGGAGGGAGAGAGAAGAGAGAGAGAGAAACGTCGATGTGAAAGGGACACATCGAGTGGTTGCCACCTGCATGACCCAACCAGGGCCGGGGACAAACTACAACGGAGGTACGTGCCCTTAGCGGGAACCGAACCCGGGTCTCTCTGGACTGCAGGCTGACGCTCTAACCGCTGAGCCAAACCGGCCAGGGCCTGAGATTTTTATAAAGGTAGATTTTTACCTACTTGAGAAGGGGAAAATTAATCTCTCAGTAAGGAATGTTTTGCAGAGTGAAGCCGGGCTTGTAGATGCCTAGAGTCTTAGGCAGCCAGTATACTTCACTTCCATTATACCTTAGAATTTCTCCTCTCTAGCTTTGGTCACCTCCCACTGAATGGGAGCTAAGCTTCTAGGCTCACAGGGGGCAACAGCTGTGGGTTGGAGGATGGTGATAGAGGCCAGTTTGGATGGGAGGTGGGAACAACTGTGATTAGTTGTTCTGGAAGGGGGGAGGGGGTCAGTTCTGGGAGAACTGACAAAATAGAGGAGTTACTGGAAAAGAGGTGGAGTTCAAGTTTGGCTCCTTTTAGAGGATGACCCTGTCCCTCCCTCACACATACTTCAGTTCTCAGCTGTTCCTTCTAATCCTGTTGTTCACTTCAGCACAAGTATTTTAGAACACGAGAATTCTATTTCTAGGGGGAGACTTCACTTCTATAGATGAGGAAATTTAAGATCAGATAGGAAAAGGACTGCCTAGCATCATTGCAACTCATTGGTTTAGGCAGGACTATACTCCAGTTCTCCAGATACCTCATCCCATGCCTTTTCATTGCATCAAGCACCTACTATGTGCAGAAAGACTTCTCTGGATAACTGAGGGCAGGGCTGAAGGAGCACTTGGTGCCTGGGCAGTGACAGAAAGAAGGGATGGAGAGAAGGCTCAGGTCTGGATGGGGTTACTTGGAGCTGCATTCTGTCCCTGACACCCAGCTGGGTGGTGGGGCTTTGGTAGAGCCCTCAGCCTCCTGGTTGAATGTGGGGAGGGGCATGTAGGTGAATTAGGGGTGGATTCCTTAAGACTGTGAAGTTTGGCCTGGCTGATGTGGCTCAGTGGTTGAGCATCGACCCATGCACCAGTGTGCGGTGGCCAATTGATGTTCTGTCTCATCGAAGTTTCCATCTCTCGCCCTCTCCCTTCCTCTCTCCAAAATCAATAAAGGAAAAAAAAAAAAAAAGACTGAGGTTTGCCTGCCTTAGAGGGTTGAAAGGGAATGGGGGAGCCAAGATGACAGGCACAGCAGCACTCATTGAGAGAAATGCATTCCCAAATAGGAGAGGGTTGTCATTCTTTGGGGTCATGGAAATAAACTTATATTTTGGTGGTAAGCAGCAGTAGTGAATAAGGGTAGCAGAAAAGGCCGGAGGAGAGGAAGAGGAAAAAGTTTTGGTTTTTTTTTGGCTATTTGGCTGCTCAGATTCGGCTCAGGAGCTTGAAACAGCTTTCGCCACTGAATCAGTGTGGTTGCCCTGGTAACAGGATGGTTGTTGCTAGGCTCGGGGAGCCAGTTTACCATCCAGAGTCCTTGGCAGTGACATGTGCAGGAGGTTGTCGCCTCAGAGTCCAGAGGTGTTCAGGGTTGAATCTCGGCCGGCAGTTCTCTCTTCTCCCTACCGGTGCCTGGGTCTTGTCTGCATTGCTTATCTGCCCTGCTGGTTCTCTGACCATATATGTCATTTTTTGGAGTCCAGGAATGCAGCGAGCTTAGAGCAGCCTCTTCCTTGGGGTTGGACTAAATGGGTTGAATTGAAACGCCTCTCCCTCACCCACGTGATGAGCTTGTGATGGGAGAGGGATGTGCTTCCTGTTAGGGCCGAGGGCAGAAGTTGCTGCCCCCAGGCTGCATGCAGCCACATCCTTATGGCCAAACCCCAGACTTGGGCAAACCCAGTTTCGGAGTCGGCTCTTCTTCCTCCCTGCCTGCTGTAGTTGCTGTTCTCTTTTTCACCTCCTGTATCTCCGCACTCTGATGATGTCATGAACGTCCCCTTTGCCATCTGTGCCTCCTTGGGGCAGTCTGTTGATCTTTGCCACCTTGAATTAGTGCCTGGAGCTCCCCACAGACAAGAGTGGGCTTGCGAGCCCTGAGAGCCTGCGGATTGTCTGCTGTGACTGGCAGGCAGAGTCCATCTTCTGCTCCTGGTTCCTGTCCTGGGACAAATCCAGCAGGAGCCCTTAGCCCTAGCCTATTTCTGGGGTCCTGTGGTCTCTGACCACCTCTTCCCTAGGACAGGGGTCAAAGATGGAGTGGCCAGAGCCACAGCTGACCTTTTGGGGTTTGGAGCATCCCCATTCTCCTTAGATTTTTATACCATCTCTGCCCCATAACTGCTGGGGCCTGGGAGCGTCTGTGCTCTGTGACTCCTGAGGAGGGGCACAGACCTCTACGCTCCGCATCTGGGACTACATGACTGAACCAGCTGGGCGGTGGGCAGCACAGGGCCTGGCACGACTCTTCCCCATCCAGCTGGAGGACCTGAAGGCAGGCACTGAGCTGTGCCATCCTCTTCCCCAGCTGCCTTTCCTGGCAACATGCCAGACAATTGTGGCGCTCGGGGAACCAGGAGCTACATGGAACTCTTGGCAAGGATGAGAAGCGTTGAGGACCAGGGACAGGGAGCTTGGGGGAGGAAAGAATGGGGCAGAAGGCTTGCTATAGCAGTTATAGGTATAAAGAGGGTGTCATTGACCTGCCACCCCACTGCCCTCTCCCAGATTTCTCTTCAGATTCTGTGGGGTGAGGCTGTGGGGGACAGTCTCAGCTATGGACCCGCTTACAGAGCTGCAGGACGACCTGACCTTGGATGACACCAGCCAGGCTTTGAACCAGCTGAAGCTAGCCTCCATTGATGAGAAGAACTGGCCTTCGGACGAAATGCCTGACTTTCCCAAGTCAGGTGGGCACCACCGGATCTCAGGCAGCTACAGGCACCTTACGTGGGGAGACTCCAGGAGGGCAGGATGGGGGCAAGCTGACCATTCCCAGCGTGGGGCTGGGAGCACAAGCCTTACTGGGGGGAGGGCCAAACATCACAAGTCTCAGGGAGAGCACTGTGCCAGCCCCACCCAGATATCCCCTGACTTTGCCATGTTCCTCAGATGACTCCAAAAGCAGCTCCCCGGAACCTGCCACACACCTGAAGTGGGATGACCCTTACTACGACATTGCCCGGCACCAGATCGTGGAGGTGGCAGGTGAGCACACTCAGTTTTGCACCTTTTTCCCCATAGTCTGCACTCCTGGCTTAAGGAGGCCAACCCCTTGTGCCACAGGGAAAGGGGCTGGGGGAGGGACAGTACCCATTCTGTGGTCTGACTCCTGACCTTGGGGCTCTTTAAACTCACAGACGTGATTGTGGTGGCCACTTGGTCTGTTCACCTGCAACCACATCCTGACCTGTGACTCCGCTGTCTCTGCTGGCGGATGGTGCGTGGGAGGCAGTGTGGCCTTGTGGCTTTGAAGTCAGAAAGCCCTGGGTTTGTCTTCCAGCTTCGCTCTCTGAACTCTTTTCTTCCTGACGGGGCTGTTGAGAGGATGGCAATGTGAACGCACGTCCGGGCCTGGCCCAGAGTACCTAGTTAGCCCTGAATAAGTGATCATTCACCTGCCTTTCCTGCGCTCTCATGTCAGCATTTCTACCTCTCCAGTCACTGGAGAGTAGGGAGGTGCCAGTCCTGCTGAGAAACCCTCCCTCTGAGGAATTCTGCAAGTTAGGGGCCGCATAACCCCTGGAGCATCAGGTTCCTGGCAGATGTGCTACCCTGCTGAGAATGGGTGCAGAGCGTCCCCTGGGTCCTGGCCTCAGTGTCTCCCACCCTCCTGTTGATAAGGCAGGACCCAGAAGACCCCAGGAGCCAGGAGCGGGGAGGGTTTCTGCCCTTAGGGTCGTACTACTAGAATAGGAAATGAATTGTAAAATCCTTTGTCTTTTCCCTGATACTTGTCTGTCCTTGCTAGTGAGGCCAGACAGCTGAAAGCAAGGGTGACAGCATAGTCCTGCTCTGGAGTGGGCAAGGGGAGCAGGGAGCACATGGTCCTGGACCCAGTGTGGTGCTGGTTGTGGGGGCCCTGTAGGCATCTGGCCGTAGGGAAAGCTGGGCTCGGAGGTTATTCCTAATGTCAAAGGTGTTTACATGACATCTGTGTTCCCGGAGCCTGCCCTGTTCTGGGCTGGGGCCTTGGCTATATGGCCTCTCTCACCTCTACAGAAGCAAGGCTGAGAGTTCTTTCCAGGTCTGCTGCTGACCTGGGCACAGGAAAGTCACCTGAAGGTTCAGAACTTTCTCTCCTCACTACCAGAGATGGACCTGACGAGGGTTGGGGGGGTGCCTGATGTGAAGGAGTCTCTATCCTGACATCCTCCTGGCTTATGTGGCCAAGTCACAAGGCAGAGCAGGCCATGCTCTGCCCATGGGTGGCCCCTGTTCCCCTGCAAGCAGAACTGCAACATGTTTCTGTTTCCTCAGGGTGTGATGAGCCTGAGGGGGCCCAGCCAGGTAGGTGTGTTCCTGGCTCTCCCTGCTTGGCCTCTCTGGGCTGTGGCCTCTGGGCTGTGGATCAGGAAGGGTTCTTGGGGCCAGCTTAATTGCAGCCCCACTCTAGGGAGCTGGCAGTGGGCGGTGCTTGGGAGCCGGAAATTGCAAAGAATTATGGGTGGGGGTTGTGTGGCAATACATTCAGAGCCAGAGGAAAAGGGGCCTCGTCCACAGGGGTGGGAGGGGGTTGGCTAGCTCTGAGCAGTGGCCCAGGTGCATGCTGGCTCCACCCCTGAGCTGAGTGCTGCAGGCTCAGGGCCCCTCTGGTGGGGTTGTCCCCCATGCATGTGCCTCTCTGCCTGCTGGGAGGAGTTTGGATTGGTATTGCCAGAGTGAGACTTGTTTGAAGAGACCAAGGTGACATCCTGGGAGGCCAGTGTCCTGGCATTAGAAACCAGAAAAAGAGCCCATGTTGGAATGGAGGATGGGGATGTCCCCAGCTCCTCTGCAGCCTCTGTTCTTACTAGTGGTGGCTGCCGTGCTGCCCTGTCATGTTTGACTTAGTGCACATGGATTCTCCCAGTGGTGTGCTGGTGAACGAGGCCCCCCTGAAAGGGAAAAAAAGGTGATTATTTGTACCATTTGCAGTTTCTACCATGGCAGATTTCAAGCTATCAACATATCAACTGGATTGCAATATTTCTGACAATTTCACAATTTAACAAACGAATGAGCCGGCTCCAGCACACTGCCCAGCCCCCATCTCCCATCTCCTTGGCCTGCCCTGCAGGTTGTGGGTGGTGCAGGTGGCTGGCCTGGCTGCCCGGCAGGCAGTTCCCAGAGTGCCTGCAGAGGAGCTTTGCTATTGCTGATTAACACCCAGGCCACCCTGGGCGAGTTCCTGATGGATATCTGGGGAGTGCAGAGGCTTCTTTCTCAGGCGGCTGGTCTTTTCCTGGTGCTTTCCACCAATGCTGTGCTCCTCCTCATCGAGCCCCTCCCCCAGCTCTGGGAAAACTAGTGCTGCCGGCTCCTTCTGGCCCTTCAGTCTCCAGGGCAGAAGTCTACTCTCTTCTGAGATCCGGAGGGGAATTCCAGGCCTTCTTACATGTAGCAGCAGTTTCCCTGCCTGCTAGCAAATGCCTGGGTCACCGAAGGACTTGGGCACTTCAGGGAGGGCCCGAGGGAGACCCTCAGGTTGCCCATATTTCATTCCTCATCTGCCCGGGTCGGGTGGGGGCGCATCCTGCCATCTAGTCCCTCACTACTCCTTTTGTCCCCTATCCCCACCCTGACTTCACTCCACATGCGTTTTTAGAACACATACTCTGGAACGAGCCCTGTAGTCAGCATTGAGAATTCAGTGAAGGAAAATACACATTCCTTCCTTCAAGGAGTATACAGTCCAGTGAAGTGGTTTTAAAGCTGGTCTTTGAGAATGCGGAAGGCATGGACCTGTTCCCCTAGCAAACGTACAAGTGCTTGTAATATTTTTCATATGACATCATGGCATTGGTGGATGCCCATCAGTGAAGCCTGGTTGAGAACCCAGTGTCCTGTGTCCAAGGTGCTGGGCCAGCTGAGAGATGGAGAACAGGTTCTGGTCCCTCACCCCAATTGCTTGCTTAACCAGTTAGTTACTAGCTCTTCAAATTCCAAAGCCAAGCGAACTCAGACTTTCTGTCTTGCCTGAGTCCTCAAGTCTGCCAGCCAATGAGGGCGGCCTTACTGTCGGGGACAGGCCTGGAAAGCATCTTTTGGAATCCCCGTGCTCCTCCCAGCATTTTACCCCACATCCAGGGCCTTCCTCTGTTTAGAGGGCAGTAGGTAAATGATGTTCCTCCCTTCACAGGCTCATGGTAGGAGGCTCAGGGATTTCTGAAGCTCCAGATTATACATGAGGCTGGGCTGGTCGGTCTAGTCTTTTGCCTGAGTCTGCTCTTTGTTCTCCTGTGAGATCCCATGGGAAGTGAATCAGAGCAGACTCTAGAGCCAACTCCTCCCACCTCCTCCACTTCCCTCACTGGCCTGGAAGAAACCTAACACCAGGACCTAGGCTAGGGTATGAAAGGAGCAGGTGGCATCCGGTTCTTCAAAATAGACCTTCTGCTGGATGAACTGCACCTTCTCCCCCTCAACCAAGCTTGCAGGGGTTCTTGTAAGTAGAGAAACTCTGCCCCAGGCTCTGGGAAACTCACTGCCTAAAGCAGCCTGATGACCTAGAGATCATGAACAAACTCAGAAACAGAACTGTGCGTACCATGTAATGCTGACTGATGTCTGTGCAGACACCAGAATTATTGGATACCTGCCATGTGCTGGGCTCTGGACAGGTGTGAGAGATTCGAAGGCCGACGAGACACAGTCCCTGTCTTCAAGCTGCTCACAAGCCAGTAGAGGAGACAGGCACATAAACAGGAGAGCCACAGTGTCATGGACGATGGTTCATGGCTTGGAGCCATGAAAAGGGACAGCTAACTTGTCTGTGGGAAGGAGAGAATACAGGCTTCTGGAAGGAGATTATGCCTTAGATGAGTCTTAAGGATTGAGAGGAATTAGCCTAGAAGAGGGGAACAAAATTGTCTGGGTAGAGGTCTGTCCAGCATGAGAAATAGCAGAGGCTCAAAGCAGCCTAATGTGGACAGGGCTGCAAGCACTCTGTGTTGGAAGTGTGCACAGTATGAGCCTGGAGAGAAGCAGGAGCCAAGCCTGGAGAATCCTGGGGGCCGTTCCAAGGAACATAGCCCGCTGGGGTCACCTTGCCCACATTCCCGAAGCCTCCTTCAGCCTCTATCGATGCTGGCTCCAGCCCTAGAGAATAGTCAGAGCCTTTGGAAAAGCGCTGACTCCTGAGTGAAGTCACTGACCAAGAAGGATCATCAAGGTCATGGCTTATTGAATATGGAGAAGATACTCAGCAAGGCATGGGGATCCTTAATCCTCAGAGGTAGATGGGGACAGACTCACTGCATTTCATGCATTGTGTCAGTGGTCTTTTTATTTGCCTCTGAAGCAATCAAGATGAAGCAAGTGTGGTTTGGTGTCTCTGGAGAGACATGAGGGCAGAGATGAAGGGAAGGTCCCTGGGACATGGGGGAGTAGGGACCAGGTCTTGTCCCATTGAGCTTTGCTTGAGGTCCCTGATCCATGCTGACCCTGGAAGAACATCTCACTTTGGGGGAAAAATAGCACATGTCTCAGGTGCTCCTGGTTTCACAGCAAAGCCAGTTAGTCAGAGCATCATATTGTGACTAGTTTTGGACAAACATCCCAGAGAGATTACATCAAAATGAGCATTTTCCCACAGCATCACAAACTCCTCTCAACGTCATGTTCTTTGGAATATTCTTAGTGAGAAAGGATATGATTTTTAGAAATGTCCAGAAGTTAGAGGTTGAGTGTGGTCAATAATTCTACTAATAAAATCAGAAAGTATTGTTAGTGGTCAAAAGTGAGCCACTACTATGTGATCAGGCTGATTCCTCAGTGAGGTTTTCTAAACACACTGCTTAGAAGGGGGTGCTTCTGAAATAAGCGTGAACTTTTAAGGTGATTCTTTGCCAAGACAAATGTTTTGAAGTGTGTGACTTTTTTAATTGAGGTGAGACTTACATAACATAAAATTAACCATTTTTAATTTTACAGTTTAGTGATATTTAGTAGTCACAATGTTGTGTATCTCTATGTAGTTCCAAAATTTCATCCATACCCATGCAAACCCCGGATTCATAAACAGTCAGGCATCTGTTCTTGCTCCCTCCCAACCTTTGGAAACCACCAATTTGTTTTCTGTCTCTGTGGACAGACTTATTCTAGATAGCTCATGTAAATGGAATCACACAATATGTAGCCCTTTGTGACTGGTTTCTTTTAGCTAATGTTTTTAAGGTTCATTCACAATGTAGCATGTATCAGTACTTCATTCCTTTCTATAACTGAACAATATTCCACTGCATGGCTATACCACCTTTTCTTTCTTTTTTTTTTTTATCCTCACCTGAGGACATTTTCCCGTTTTTTGGTTTTTTTTGGTTCAGATAGAGTGGGAGGGAGAGAGAGGAAGAGAGAGAGAGAGAGAGAAACATCGATGTGAAGGGACACATAGAGTGGCTGCCACCCGCACGACCAACCAGGGCCGGGGACAGACTGCAACCGAGATACATGCCCTTATCGGGAACTGAACCCGGGTCTCTCTGGACCGCAGGCCGACGCTCTAACCACTGAGCCAAACTGGCCAGGGCAATATACCACCTCTTCTTTATCCATTCATCTATTCATCTGTTGATGGACATTTGGCTTGCATCCACCAGGTGTGGTTTATTTATTTATTTAATTATTTGTATATTTTTTGTGGTATGTGCCCCTAGCGGGAACCGAACCTGAGACTCTCTGGTCTGCAGGCTGATGCTCAACCACTGAGCCAAACTGGCCAGGGCAAGGTGTGATTTTTTAAAAGTCATGTTATTTCTTTATACCCCAGCCCAGTATCCCTGAGAGCAACCTGTTCCTCTTTCTTCAGCGACAACCCCTTCAGTGCAGGCAGCTGCCCGGGGAGTGTCTGTATGGGCCGCTCTGGCCCCTGTCCTAAATGGTACAGGTCTGGTAACCTTTCAGGCCCTCAGCCTGTTTCTCTTGGTTCACCTTTCACCCACCACGCTCCCTCTGTCTCCACACCTAGGAGATGACAAGTATGGACGGAAGATCATTGTGTTCAGTGCCTGCCGAATGCCTCCCAGCCACCAGCTGGACCACAGCAAGCTCCTGGGGTGAGTACCCATAGGGAAGGTGGTGGGACCCGTGCCCAGATCCCCAGTTTGGCCTGATGTTTTCCGTACTGTCCCTTCCTCAGGGCCTCCCTCTTCTCCTGAGGGAGCTTTTTTACATTTGGGGAGTCAGTTCTGGGCTAGGAGTCAGACCTGGTTTCTAGCCCTTGAAGGTGTGACCTTGGCAAGTGTCTTCATCTTTTTAAACCTCTTTCTTCCCTTTGCCTAGTGGATGATTACAAAGCCTTCCTTTCTTTTTTTTTTTTATCCTCACCCGAGGACATTTTTTTTTTGATATTTTGGTCAGATAGAGTGGGAGGGGGGGAGAGAGAGAGAGATAAACATCCACGTGAAAGGGACACATCGAGTGGCTGCCACCCGCACGACCAACAAGGGCCGGGGACAAACTGCAACCGAGGTACATGCCCTTAGCGGGAACCGAACCCGGGTCTCTCTGGACCGCAGACTGACGCTCTAACCGCTGAGCAAAACCAGTCAGGGCAAGCCTTCCTTTCTTGTAATAGTGAGGTATTGTGTGTGAAAAGGCTTTGAAAAGTAAAATCCTGCCCAAATGTGAGGGCTGATTATCATAGTGCTACAATGTCCAGTGTGGTTGCAGTCATTTCCCGTTTATATGAATAATTAGTGTTACCTTATTTTGTGCCAAATTTGGTGCCATTGCCTTTTGTACCTATCTGGATTCTGTTAGTCAGAAATATATAACAGCTCTGGTTGGCCTAGAAATCTCCCGATGCAACTCCAGAGGCTGACTGAAAGTGGGAGTCGGAATGCGGGGAGGTTCCGGGTGGGGCTCCGTCGCCGGTGTCTGTTGGCACTGGGTACAGCTATGAAGAAACAGGAAAGATTCCTGCTTCTGTGGAGCTCGCAGTTCTCCTGAAAGTGGGTGACTCCAGAATTGACTGGCCATATCACTGTCAGTGTAGTAACGCTTACTTCGTTGTGCTGGGTCACCTTCCTTCTCAACCTGCCTGTTGCCACGAGGAACATCTGTCGGTTCATTATGGTGCCGGTGGCAACATGGGAGTGTTGGATCCAACAGAAATACATGACCGAGGGCAGCGGAAGTCACACATGAAACACCGTGGCCAAGCTTGGTTTCCACTTGCTTTGTTCTTCAGGTCTCCTTGTAGTATGATCTTAGCTAAGTGGCCGAGGCTGGAGGAGCCGCGGCTGGTCAGCCTGCACAAGTGCCCAGCCGAGGAGCCAGAGACTTCCATCATCCTTAGAACTGGAACCAGAGCAGTTTATTTTTCCCTCTTTGAACAAAAAATGTTTTTGCTCTATTTTTATCATATAAAGTATTTTTAAAACATGACAAGAAAGAAAAAGAAAGTGGGAGTTTGACAAGCCCTGTTTGACAAACATTCATTGAGCCACGGCTGAGCCAGCCTGGGCCCGTAGCATGTGCGGGGCCCACACAGGCGGAGCCCCGCTGCCCCCCTGGCGCCTCTCGGTGTGCGCACAGCTGCCGTCTTGCACTTCTTCCCTGGCCAGTATGAAGCCCTCCCTAGGGCAGAAAAGGTCTGCGCCGCCTGTACCAACTCTGCAGTCCTGAGTGGTTCTGTGTGTGTAGGCTGTGGTGAGGGTCGGGGCAGTCCCGGGGTACAGCAGCAGTAGGGGAAGGGCCTGCGTCCAGAGTCTCTGTAGCTCCAGGGAGCCAGGGCCAGGCCCAAGTCTCTGCAGCCGGGTGTGCTGTCTTTCTCTGTGGCCTCCTGAAGCCTCCTCCCACCGCTCCTCAGACAGGCCCCCACGTGGCCAGCCAGGAGCGGGCAAGGAGCTCAGTCTTAGGGTGCCTGAGTCACACCTCCCAACACACACCTCTAGTTTTGTCACCAGGTAGCTGACAGCCTCCTGGCCAGATAATAGTCCGAGTGGGAGGAAGTCAGAGGATGGGGCTGGGAAGGCACCCAGTTTCAGGAGAGCGCCTGACGAGTGAGGAGGCACCCACCCTGGGGCTTGCTCTGGCTTTGGGAGCCCTCTGCCATCCGTGCTGTCCTCTATCCTGCACAGAGCTCCCCACCCCTCCTGACCTGGTCACAGCTCCTGCTGGAGCAGAGGCACATCCATCCAGGAGCAGTCTTGTCCTCTTCGCAGTCACATTATCTCCAGCTTGGCTTTCCCAGCTGTCTACCCAGGTCTGGGGGTTGAAGCAGAAAGTGCCTGAAGCTTGGATGCAGAAGACTGATAAACTCTAGCTGTGCCTCTTACTAGCTGTGTGCCTGGGACAGGTCTCTTCTGAGCCCTTGTAAGAATAAGAATTGTGCCCAACTCACAGGGTTGTTGTGGGCATTAGGTAAGATATATACATGAAATGCCATAGTATACATTTGTAAAGTGTTACAAATTTCAAGAATTTTTGCCAGGTTGGTGTGGCTCAGTGGATTGAGTGTCGTCCCATGGACTGAGAGGTCCTGGTTCGATTCCCAGTCAGGGCACATGCCCGGGTTACAGACTTGATCCCTAGTGGGGGGTGTGCAGGAGGCGGCTGATCAATGTTTCTCTCTCACATCGATATTTCTATCTCTCCCTTCCTCTCTCTCTAAAAAGTCAATAAAAACATTAAAAAAAAACAAATTTCAGGAATTATTTAAAATGTAGGTAACTGTAAAGAAAAAATAAAGACAACTGTATGAAAAAAGTCACCCATAAACCTGTCACCCAGAGAGAAAATGACTGTTCATATTTTAGTGTATTCACTTCCTGTTTTTTTCTATAACACATACAGAGCTTTGTAGTCAGTTTTGTATCTTACATAACGTTTTTATCTTCTGAGTGTTAAACATTCATGAAAGACATCCTTTAAAAAATGTTATTGTCACCCTGGCCGGTTTGGCTGAGTGGTTAGAGTGTCAGCATGCGGTCCAGAGAGAACCGGGTTCGGTTCCCTCTAAGGGCATGTACCGCGGTTGCAGTTTGTCCCCGGCCCTGGTTGGGTCGTGCAGGAGGCAACCACTCGATGTGTCCCTTTCACATCAATGTCTCTCTCTCTCTCTCTCTCTCTCTCTCTCTCTCTCTCTCTCTGTCTCTTCCTCTCTCTCCCTCCCACTCTATCTGAACAAAAAATGGAAAAATGTCCTCAAGTGAGGATTAAAAAAAAAAAATGTTATTGTCCTAGCCGGTTTGGCTCAGCGGTTAGAGTGTTGGCCCGCAGACCAATGAGTCGTGGTTTCGATTCTGGTCAAGGGCACGTACCTTGGTTGCGATTCATCCCCGGCCTTGGTTGGGGTCATGTGGGAGGCAGCCACTCAATGTGTCCCTTTCACGTCGATATTTCTCTCTCTCCCACTCTATCTGAACAAAGGTGGGAAAATGTGCTCGGGTGAGGATAAAAAAAAAATGTTATTGACATATGATATGTATACAGAAAAATGAACCAATTATGTATACTACTTAATGAATTTTGAAAAACTGAACCTACCCATGTTAGCCCCACCCACAAGCCTCCCTTCACTCTTCTAATCACTGCCCCAAAGGGCAGCCACTGTTCTGACATCCATGTCACAGACTGGCTTTGTCTGCAGGAGTATCCTGTGAGGTATTCAGTTTATAGATGTCCTGTGATTTGTTTAACCAGTTCGCTGTTGTTGGACAGCTAGCTTGCTGCTCAGTTTTTGTTTGTTTTTTCATTATAAAACACGCTGCAATAAATAGCCTTCTACAAAAATGTTTTCGTTTATCTCTGCTTCTTCTTTTTTTTAATCCTCACCCGAGGACTTTTTCCATCTATCTTCAGTTGGGGGGGGGGGCGGAGAGAGAGGGAAAGAGAGAGAGACATAGACTGGTTGCCTCCCGCACAACCCCAACCAGGGCCGGGGACAAACCGCATCCAAGACATGTGCCCTCAACCAGAATCTAACTCCTAACTCATTGGTCTGCAGGCTGATGCTCCAACCACGGAACCAAACCGGCCAGGGCTCTGCTTATTTTCTTAGGATAAATTCCTGGACGTATTTACAGGGTCAAAGAGTAGGAACATTTTATAGCTTCTGATAGACATCACTTTTTGCCCTCCTAGAGGTCATAACATCTGTCAAAGGATGAGTGTACTTTCAGTACAATTATTGCTATTTTCTAGTTGCAAAATGCCATCTTTTTTTTTTTTTTATCCTTACCTGAGGACATTTTTACATTTATCTTCAGTTAGAGCGGGAGGGAGAAAGGGAGGAAGGGTGGAAGGGGGAGAGAGAGAAAAAGAGAAACTCATCAACTGGTTGCCACCCACACAACCTCAACAGGGGCTGGGGACGAAGGTACACGCCCTCAGCAGGAACCGAACCCGGAACTCTCTGGTCCACTGGCCGACGCGCTAACCGCTGAGCCCAACCGGCCAGGGGGCAAAATGCCATCTTTTTATGTGACAGATCTTTGCAAATTCTTTTTTTTTTTTTTTTTATCCTCACCCGAGGATATTTTTCCATTTTTTATACAGATAGAGTGGGAGGGAGAGAGAGGAAGGGAGAGAGAGAGAGAAACATCGACGTGAAGGGACACATCGAGTGGCTGCCACCCGCGTGAGGGACAAACTGCAACCGAAGTACGTGCCCTTAGCGGGAACCGAACCCGGGTCTCTCCAGACCGCAGGCCGACGCTCTAACCGCTGAGCCAAACTGGCCAGGACTCTTTGCAAATTCTTAATGTGTCTAAGGGGTAAAGTACTGTGTAGTCCCTAGACACCTCACATCCTTGCCTGTCCTGGACCATTGTATAAATTACCATCTCTAGGTTAGATCAGGTGGTATCTGGGCACTTAATCAGATCCTAGGGCACTTCCCCATGTTCCTTCCCCCCTTACCTACCTCCCTTGGAAGCCCTTAGCTTTTCGCCTTCCAGCCTCCAGTGGTGATCCTGCTGAAGCCTGGGGCTGGCCAGCCAGAAAGAGGGCATTCCACTGGACTCCTCCCTTTCTGGAATTCTTGTTCATTCTCTTTATACCCTGTACCTCAGGTGGGCTCTGCATTTGTTTCTTTTGTGGTGGTAGATGTCATGTTGTGGGCATAGGGAACCTGAGAGGTGGCTCCTTGGTTCATGAAAAGCCCAGTGATTGGAGCAGGGGAGGAGACCCTCTGTCACCCTGATCCCCTCTCGGGGGTGGTATTTGACAGGCTGTGCTGGGAGTTCGAGTCTAAGCAGGAGAGCTGCGCTGTGGTCAAGAACTCAGGCTTGCCCTGGCCGGTTTGGCTCAGCGGTTAGAGCATCAGCCCTCGGACTAATGAGTCATGGGTTTGATTCCTGTCAGGGGCATGTACCTCAGTTGTGGTTTGTCCCCGGCCCTGGTTGGGTTGTGTGGGAGGCAACCAGTCAATGTGGCTCTATCATCAATGTCTCTCTCTCTCTCTCCCTCCCTCCTTCCCTCCCTCCCTCCCTCCCACTCTATCTGATAATAGAAAAATATCCTCAGGGTGAGGAATTTAAAAAAAAGGAATGCAGGCTTCAGAGTTTGATAGTTTACCCTCAGGGTCCACCATAAGCTATGTGACCTTGGATAAACACTTGACTTTTCTAGGCCTCCTTGCCCTCACTTATAAGAGGGGGATAATATCAGCCTTGACTGTTACAAGGAAGGCATGAGCTAAAGTATGCAGAGTGATTGGCAGACACTAAAAGCCTAATATTGATAAATGGTGACTGTTGTTATTGTTGACTCCGCAACCTGTTACTCCCGTTTTAATTCTAGGCACGGAGAAGGGCTCCAGTTAGGGTCCTGGTCTCCTGACTCCTGGTCAGTGCTCAAAGCTGAGAGCTGTTCTGTCACTATCATTGCTCTGCCCAGCCCAGCCACAATCCCTCCACAACCACGTGGTAACTGATTGTGCAGCCAGCATAGACAGTGCAGGGCCAGGGGCGTGTGGGTTTGATATAGCACATTCCCAGGGTACTGGATTTTGTCTTCGTGGGTTCCACTTGTGTACGGGGCAGGCCTGAGCAGGTCTTTTCTCTTGAAGGTACCTGAAGCACACCCTAGACCAGTACGTGGAGAGCGACTACACGCTGCTCTACCTGCACCATGGCCTGACCAGCGACAACAAGCCCTCCCTCAGCTGGCTCCGGGACGCCTACCGGGAGTTTGACCGAAAGTGAGTTGGGGCCCGGGGACAGGTGGCTCGGGAGCCAGCAGCTCTGATAAAGGTTCTGGGCTGCTCGTGCTTGGGCAGGAGCTTATTCCATACTAGAGGGGTCAGGTGCCTACACCTGGGTAAATGCAAAGACTCTGAAGTTGGAATGGCCTGGGCTTAAATCCCAGTTTCTCTATTTACTCTGTGACCATCCATGTAACTTAACCTCTCTGAGCCTCTGTTTGCTAATCTGTACAATGGGGCAACAGTGACACTTACTTCCCAGGCTTGCTGTGAGGAGTGAACTCAGAAAATGTACATTAAGAACCTAGCGCTGCGACTCCCCCACCATGCTCACTCCCGAGTTCCCATTCTGCCTCTGCAGGTACAAGAAGAACATCAAGGCCTTGTACATCGTGCATCCCACCATGTTCATCAAGACCCTGCTCATCCTCTTTAAGCCCATTATTAGGTGAGCACGCCGAGGGCGGGTTGGTGGTTTCCTCATGCTTCCCCTGAAGCAGATACCGGAGGAGGCCAAGCATCCCAGGGACAGATCCGCTTGGGGCTCGGCCTCTGTCTGATCTGGATGGGCTGCTGAGGGACAGTGGGCCTGCTGAAGCTGGTGCATTCCCTGACCCATGCCCTTTCCTCCACTGGCAGCTTCAAGTTTGGACAGAAGATCTTCTATGTGAATTACCTGAGTGAGCTGAGCGAGCACGTGAAGCTGGAGCAGCTGGGGATCCCTCGCCAAGTGCTCAAGTGAGGCTGGGCAGGGACTGTGTGCCCACTGGATGGCATCTGCGTGCATGTGTATCGTGTGTGTGGGGGGGCATGCCAGCCAAGGGGAGAGGAAGCCTTGAGAACCCCAGGATAAACAAAGGAAGCAAATGTAATGATTAAGAGACAGCACATGGGGTCAGAGAGTGAGTTCAAATTCCATTGCTGTCACTTAAAAGCTTTGTGACTGAATCTCTTTAAGTCTTCACTTTCTCGTGTGTAAATCCGGTTGTTATGAGGGTTGAGTGATATAACCTTTGTAAAATAGCACAGCAAGTGCCCGACAAACAAGGGTTACCATAATGACTACAGAGCAAGGCAGAGGGCCTGAACTTCCCATCTGCTCCCCCAGGTATGATGACTTCCTGAAATCCACACAGAAGAGCCCTGCAACAGCCCCCAAGCCCATGCCACCAAGGCCCCCTCTGCCCCACCAGCAGTTTGGGGTCTCACTGCAGCAGTGAGTATGCAAACAGGGGACACCTGGCACCTGGAGCCCAGGAAGGGCTGCAGACCCCGCTCACTGCCCTTGTTCCCACAGCCTCCAGGAGAAGAACCCAGAGCAGGAGCCCATTCCGCTCGTGCTCCGGGAGACCATTGCCCACCTACAGGCCCACGGTGAGTGCCAGGGCCCACCTGCCTCCAGGACCTGCCCAGGGTCCCCCAGCTCCCTCGGGTAGCTGCCAGGCAGGGCTGAGAGAGGCCCCACATGCACCCGCACTGACCCTGACTGGAACCTTGAGACAGAATGCTGGGGGAGGCTACACTCTGCCCCTGAGCTCTGAGAATCAATAGACCCCACTGTTTCCCAGCTCTCACCACTGAGGGGATTTTCCGGAGGTCTGCCAACACCCAAGTGGTACGAGAAGTGCAGCAGAAGTACAACATGGGTGAGTGTTTCGGGGAGGTGCCCAGGCCCACAGCACCGTACAGACCACATGTGGGGGACGGGGGGTGGGGGGGAGAATTGGGGGCATGTGTGAGACTGTTAGGGGCTTCTCTGCCTGTAAACAGGGGTCCCAGATTTCATTTCTGGCAGAGGTTTTGTGGCATCTGGTATAATTACATGGGTCCCACTTCCGCCTGGCTGTTCCAGGCCTGCTCCCTCATTGGTCAGGCTGTTAGGTCCTTGGTTCAGGTTCATTTGGAGACAAGGAATAAATGTAGTATGTGCTAGGAGCCCCACTCCACCCCAGTGGCCTCAATCTGCATCCCCTTGTCGCAGAGGAAGAGGGGAAGGCAGGTGTGAAGTTCTCTGGGAGGAGGCTCTGTCTGCGGGGGAAGTCAGGGAGTGGGGCCTCCTTGGCCTCCAGGCTCCACCCAGCTCCTCTCCACCCCTCCCCCCCCCAGGGCTGCCTGTGGACTTTGACCAGTATGATGACTTGCACCTGCCAGCAGTCATCCTGAAGACCTTCCTCCGGGAGCTTCCTGAGCCCCTGCTCACCTTTGATCTCTACCCCCACGTTGTGGGCTTCCTCAGTGAGTGCCCTCTCTCCCTCCCAGCTCTGAGCTGCTCCTGCTGGGCCTGTGCTGCACTCGGAGCAGGCGGGCTTGGCCTGGCCGCCAAGGAAAGTCTGGTGGGGGTCTCCCCTCTAGCCTCTGTGAGAGCGTCCTGAGCCAGCCAACCCTGGGCCCCTGTAATGTGGGCCCCCATTCCTCACAGACATTGATGAGAGCCAGAAAGTGGAGGTGACGCTGCAGGTCCTTCGGACGCTGCCTGAGGAGAACTACCAGGTGCTTCGTCTCCTCACTGCCTTCCTGGTGCAGGTGAGACTCGACTGCGCACCTGAAGGAGGGAGGGGGAGGAGCTCGGGCGCCTGGAGGAGCTCGGGCGCCTGCTGCAGCCCTGATTTCTCTCCACAGGTGTCTGCCCACTGTGACCAGAACAAGATGACCAACACTAACTTGGCTGTCGTCTTTGGCCCTAACCTGCTGTGGGCCAAAGATGCCGCCATCACTCTCAAGGCCATTAATCCCATCAACACCTTCACCAAGTTCCTCTTGGATCATCAAGGGGAGTTGTTCCCTACCCCTGACTCTGAGGGGCTCTGAGCCCAGCTCCTGCCCTCCAGCCCCCTTCTGATAGCCCCAGTTTGGACTCTTCCTCCTGGCATCAGCCTTTTAGGAGCCCAGGGCTCCTGCCCAGGAAGGGGTCATGAGGCCCCAGGAGATAGACACTGGAGCCAGCCAACTGGGCAGCTCCTCCTCCCCATTTTTCCAGCCCACCTCACAGGCCCTGGAGGCCTCACTGTTACCATGAGATATTTTTCTTCGCCTTCTCCTTCTCCTGCCTCCTTGGATCCCTGGTTCCTGCAGGGCTGTGCAGAGCTGGACTTGGCTCTTCCAGAGGACGGGCCCCAGCAACCCCTTTCGTGCTTTCTCCTGCCTCTCCCTGGCAACTGCAGGTGCCAAAATCACTGCCAGCTGGGATGGTAGCTGGGGTTGGTCCCCCCCCCCATGACTGGCGGAGAGTGAAAGGCTGAGCTGGCTTAGGCCTGCTGAGGCTTCTCCGGTCTGGGTGAAGGCATGGGTCCAAGCACCTTGCTCCTCTCCCCTCAGCCTGGGGTATTTCCACAGCTAAGGAATTACAGGCTGAAGTCTGTTTCCTGTTTCTGCCTTTGCTTCCACACATCCTGGTCAGCTTCTCCCAAGTGGTACTGCCCCCAGGATGTTCTGAGCCCTTGCTTCTGCCAGGACTGGCAGCTTGGATGACATGGCTGAGCCCTAGCATCCATTTGAGATAGACCTGAGAGACCCCTGGTGCCTGATCAGACACGGTGACTCGGTCTCTGTGCCTTGTCTAAGGACAGCTTCTAGGTCTAAGGCTCTTACAGTCATGTGTGTTGTGGAGTCACAGTGGTCTCTGCTCTGGCCAGAGGTGACTCAGTGCCTCAGAATCTGTGGTGACCCCTCCTGCTGGGGACTCCTGGAGACACTGGGCAGAGATTTTGTTAGTTAGATCAGCTAGATGAGTTCTATCAACCTTCCCCATGGAGTATGGGGTCCCAGGGCCCTGTTGTCTTTCAGACAACCTGGACCTTAATGATGATGGCGCTCCCTCATTCCAGCTGTATCCTTTAGAATTACGCTCCTTCCTGGTGAACCCTGGGGACCCACCCCCATCTCTTTCTAAAGCCCTGACTTCTGGCAGCAGGGAAATACCTGCACAGTGGCCCTGTACCACGAGGTCCTCACTGACCATCTGGGCTCCCCCCAGAGCACTGGCATGTCAGGACTCCCAGTACCTGGTGTGGCTGCTGGTTTTGTCAGTACCTGTCTCTAGCCTGGGTTCGGGCCTCTGCTTTTCTGCCCTCCTTTGTGTATCAGGTGTTCACAGTCCCGTTTACTGGGGAGCCTGTGGATCTATTTGTTCTCTCCCCTGTCCCCTACCCCACTGGTCAATGCTTAGGGGTGGGGGGGTGGGGGAAGGGCTTGTACTGTGAATCAAGTGTTCACATTCACACCTAATGAATTCCTTGGCACCAATCATGTATTTCACCTTTGCACTTTTTGTATTTCAATAAAAATGGAGATGGAAACCGCCCACCTGGCTGTGGAGGAAGTAGGCGTGGAGGTCCAGAACTGGGTGGGAGGCGTGGCTGTGGAAGAGCAGACAGGGCCTCAGCAGTCCCTGACCAGTCCATCTGACCCCTTTCCATCTTGTTCACTACTGAGTGTGATGAGGCCAGCTCTCTGACCATCGCCCAAGCTCAGAAGTGTGAACAGTCACCTTCCATTCTTGGCACCTGCAGCACCTCAACCAGCCACCATGCGCTGAAGCCTATGACCAGGGCCTCTTCTGTCCCCCAAATGGAGTGGGCTGCGGCGGACAGCATGGGTTTTAGAGTCAGGGTTTGAATCCTAGTTACATCACTTGCCACCAGTTCTCACTGGTGACAGTCATGTCATTGGCCCCATTGCTGAGACCATTCCTTCATTTCTGTCAGGATCGGAAATAATGTATGTAATACAGAGTGCCCCGTGGTAACTAGAATGACCATCTCTCAGATGAACAAAGTGACAGCCCCAACCTGTGCAGCAGCTGGGACTGAAACCTGTACCTGACCATTCCGCTCCCCTCTCCCCTCGGACTGAGCGTTGCCCGTTTCCACTTGCACGTACTCACATGGAGTCATGAAAGATCCCGTTTTCCTTTCCTCTTTTTTTTTTTTTTTAATTTTTTTTCCCTTTATTGATTTGAGAGAGAGAGGAAGTGAGAGGGAGAGAGAGACAGAAACATCGATGAGAGAGAACATCAATTGGCTGCCTCCTGCATGCTCCCCACTGGGGATCGGGCCCACAACCTGGGTATGTGTCCTGACCGGGACTCGAACCAGCAACCTCCTGATGTATAAGTCGACGCTCAACCACTGAGCCACTCCGGCCGGACTCCTTTCCTCTTTTGAGATTTTGCTTTGCATTAGAGGTTAAGATGGTAACATTTATGTGTACTTTACTGCAATTTTTAAAAAGGGGTTTGTCACTAAGGGCAGGCCAGAATTTCACTTGGCATAGTAGTCCAGGTCAAGTTCCAGCACTCAGCTGTTTGCCTGACCATGGCAATCAGGAGGCCATGGTAGCCCTGTTGGGCCTGTTCTTTATTCTTGTCATTGCTTGCTTAAGCTGGGGACACTGGGCCAGAGCTGCAGGAGCAAGCCGTGTTGTTAGGATGGTGGTTGTAAACACTGGCATTGAGCTCCAGGAAGCTGGTGCCATTGCACAACTGTGGCCCTCATCCAGGTAGCTTGAACAGAAGGCATGGGCGGCCTCTCTCACTGGCTCTCATCTCTAAGCTGGGTGACTGTTCAGAACAGAGGGGCTGTGACCCAGGGCAACAAGGAGGGGAATGGGAGACAGGGAGAGAGCTGTTTACTTGGGTTGGGCTCCTGGCAGGGCCTCTGCTGAGTGACTCAAAAGCCAGTTTAGCTCTGCCTTAGCAACAGCAGGTCTCTGGGGATGGAGTGTAGGGAGATGCTTTAAAGGGGTAGGATGCCATCATCAGACCTGGGGACACTGAACACTTGCTTTTGGGGGATCCAAATTGAAGTCGACACCAGGGAATGTCTCGCTGTCATTTCTAACCTAGGGGTTCACCAACTTATTCCTGACTGGCTGCATGGTCAGGCACCATGACTAGTGTAGCGTGCAGTTTACGAACAAGCAAGGGCTCCCGTGACCCATTGGAGCAGCAGCGGGTGGGCCCCATTCTTTTCAGCCTCTGGCTTGGGCTAAAATTAGAATTTTCTAACTGGCCCTTTTCTTCCGGGGCCTGGCTTCAGCCTGAAGGGTTCGGAGGCAACCCAGACAGCAGTTACCAAGGTCTGTCAGGCAGTTTGGTCTCTTGCCTCTGGGACACTGGCTCCACATCAGCTCCCTCCCCACACTGTGGGCACAAACAAGGAGGCAGAAGGCAGGTGGCTTTGCCAGGGCTGCAGAAGTCCCCAGAGGGCGAGGCAGGAATAATCGCCAAAGGGCTCTTCTACTTTTCATGGCTCCTCAGAGACCACCCCACTGCTCTGGGCAGCTAAACAAACTGGCACAGGTCCTTGACTTCCTGCTACTCACCCAACCCCTTCCCTTCTGTCTGGTTGCTCAGCCACAACTCCGAACACTGATCAGCAAACAGATCCCAGGCGGCGTGGGGAGCCCCACACTGCTGCCGGCTTCTGCTGGAAACATGGCAGAAACCTGTCAGTCGTCTTTCCCTCTGAGCCAAAGGCCACCCTCTGCCTCCAGGCCAGGCTGCATGGTGAGCTATGTGGTACAAGGGGGATAAAGAGCTGGTGAGAATGGCCTACACTTTATGGAAATTCTACTATAAGCACACTTAATATGCATGTCTACACACACGTCTCACTGGACAGTCACATATAAGGCCCTGAAATGGGAACACACAGCCCAGGAGAACAGGCTCTCAGAGCTCTCCTGACCAGCCCAAGCTTGCACAGCTGGTAAGTGGCCATGCCCCCAGACTCAAAACAGCCTGCCTGACCGAAGCTTTTCTGCACTTCACCTCACATTGCTCTTCCCACTCCATGGAGCCTGCACAGAAGTGGGAGGCAGCAGGCTAGGATTTTAGATAACTTGCAGGACAGGAAGCTGTAAAGTACAGAAAAAAAAATTTATTGGAAATCTCTTGAATGCATTTTAAAGTATAACTCAATATTTCCAAACAAGGTAGGCTGGAGAAGAGGAGGGACTCTGCCACCTATAGAGAGATGACGGGTCCCAGTCCTAGCCCCAGGTGCTGCAGAAGTCAGTCTAGGGCTCATACCTCTTATTGTACAGGCCGAGGGGCAAGGGCCGGCCTTGGCAACTGCTCTGCTTCTCCCAGGCTCAGCTCCAAGTCAGGGCTTAGCCTCCCTGGCCTCTCACTGATGGGGTCCTGAAGAAAGGCTGCTGCCCATACAGGCCAATAATTAGAAGTCAAGGAGGACAACAGCTAACTGGCCTTTCCACGCTCGGCCTCAAAACGAACGCAGTGGCTGAGACACGGGCTGGGTGGGGGGCAGTGAATAACTTACAATGGGCCTGGGGCTGTGAATTGGTTTAGCGGGCCATGGGTGTGCTCTGGCCCAAGGACAGGAGGGCCAGTTGGACATCACTGCTGGGAACACTTCTCTCATGCATGGGGTAGGGCTCAGCCTAACGGAGTCAGTACAGAGCCCACTCAAACACCTTTGTAGGTGGGAACAGTGTCACATGCATTTACCAACAAGCAATTGAGGGCCATTGAGCCAATGCAGAATAGCTGCTGTCGATAAATACCCCAGCTGGATCAGGAGGAATAAGCCAGGCCTAGTTTCCATGCCAGGACTATCAGTTAGGTTGGGAGAGGGACAGATGGCATAGGTGGGTGAGGCTGGGCCCCTTGACTTACCCAAGTAACAATACATGAAGGGTTGAGTCAATCATATGCCCAGCTTTAGTTTCTCAACAAGGAACCAATGCAACCCAGTCAACCTCAGGGCAGTGTACAGACCCTGGGGTTAAAGGAGAGCAGTGGCCAGGCCCAGGCAAAAGGAGAAAGGACCCATAACCCAGCCCTGAGAAACAGGAACAAGTACTCCAGGAGGAGTTTGTCTGGACTTCCCCGGGCCCACCAGTGGGGCACACAGAATGCCCTTGGGCACGGTATGCAGCACAACTCTCAGGAAGCACTGCAGCACTCAGGGCTCCCTGGGCTGCCCGAACAGTCAGCCACTGCAGGAGCTGAGAGAGCCAAGGCTCCCACCAGGAGCATGGAGGTGTCTAAGGTAAAGCCTGTTGTCAGTTCAAATGCAGCAAGTCTGGAAGGCTCTGTTGCCCTCCCAGCCCCATTCTTGGCTCCCACCTTACACATATGGGAAGGAAGATCCCCAGAGCAGCAACCTGGAATCTGAGGAACCTCCATGGGAGGAAGCCCTGCCCCAGGAAGAGGCCCTTCACCTTCCCCAAGTGAAAACAACTAACCTTAAACATAATTTCTCTATAAAATATGACTTCTTTGAAAGTAATAAATATTTACCATGTTCTATAACCAAGGAGCAGCAACAGGGTGAGGGAAGAGAAGAAAGAGAAGACCCTTTTCTGTGACTCCCAATCCCAGAGACACAGGACTCTGTTTCTATGTAGCTGAGGAGCTGAGCACAGGCAGCCACCAGGGCTGCTCAGACCCTCTGCTAAGGGAGGGGGCTGGCACAACCTGCAAGGGTGGGAATGGCTGACTTTCAAGTCCTCATCTTGGGCAGAAGGCCTGTCATATTGCCAAGAGTACAGGCACAGGGGCAAAGGGGGAGAGACAGGACGATACCAGAACTAAAGGAGACAACAAAGAGAGCCTGAAGGAGCTTTCCTTCCTCCCACCACTGTCTCCTTCCTCTTGCTGCCTCCACACCAGTCTCTGGGCCACCAGCTGGAATGTCAAATGGTTGGTGATAATGGCAGACAGGCGGACGAGGGGCCAGCTGCGGGAAGAACTGATGAAGCCTCTGTGGAGCACATGCGGATGGGCATGGAAGCGGCCCTTGCGTTACAAAGGGCCTTCCCATCTCCAAGGCCAGAGGGTGAGTGAGTCCTCTCAAATGCTCTACATGGGCTTAACTGCTGCCATGGAGTCTCCAGGAGGTGCAAGAGCAGGGACTTCTGGGTCCCCATGGGGGAGACCAGCCTCCCTTCCACCTGGCTTGGAGCAAGACGAGGAATGGGAGCAGCTGATGAGTGGGAGGCTCTCTGTCTCCTGCGACCACAAAAAGGGGATGCTGCTGGTACTCGAGGACACCAACTTTTACTGCAGGGTTTCTACAAAGGCATCAAATTCTCGGACATTCTTCTCATGTACAGCCAGCTTCTCTGGTAGTGAGTCCTGTACCAGGAGGGGAGAGAAGAGCTGCTCATTCAGGTAGGGCCTGGAAGAGACAGCCAGCACCGTCACCCTGGGCTGAAGAAGGGAGGCAGGGGGGTCAGTTCAGCAGTGCTGGGCTGGGAGCGCAGAACTCAGGGCAGCTGAGCAGGCAGCGGACAGAGGCTTCAGGGTTTTGTGGGGCTGGAAAGGGGGTTTGACAGAACAGGCTAGGGAATCCAAGTGGCCCCCACACTTAATGAGATAGAAGAGGTCCATACCAACAATAGAATGACACAGAGAAACTAAACGTGAAATATCTTTGACAGATTAGACTGACACTAGAAGGAAACTAGGTTTAAAGTGCTCAAAATGAAGATTCACTAAAGATTTCTTCACACCCTGTGCTGGGCATCAGAATGTCCTGGGATTCACGAATGAGGCCGTCCCACAACACTCCTAACAGATTCTAACTCAGCAGGTCTGTGGTGAGGCCTAGGAATCTGCATCCTGATGCCGGCAGAGGACAGGGTGGGTCAGAGGGAGTTGAGAGAGAGAATGAAAGAAGAAACAGAACTCTGAGAAGTTAAGTTTAACTGCCTTCAGGTATCAACTGTTTTGTTTTTTTTTAAAATCTGACCCAAATCACGTGGTCTATCCCCATTGAAAAATTTGTATATGAAGAGTTTAAACTATCACCTATTTCCTGACAGGCACCAGGTACTTACTTCAAAGAGGTGGGACAATCTCCTGCCTCAGAACTTATAATGTGGCCCAGACACATCAGACAGCCCAGGCAGGTTTGGAAGGTGGGGCAACCGGCTAGGACTGGCTGCAGCATCACTTTGAGAGCCTTTCCTCCCAACTACATTTAAAGTCAGAGGCAGGGGGTGGGGTTTAAGCGAGTGGTAGTGGTAGTGGTAGTGGTTAAAAGCCTTAATCAGAAGCCAGACCCTCTGGGATCACAGCTTTGTTTTGCAGGCTCAGTGTGACTGTCATTTGTTCAGTGTCAGTTTTCTCATCTGTATGTGATAATAAGAAAACCTGCCTCTTAGGGTTGGTTGAAGAATTGTGTAAAGGACTTAGAAAAATGCTTGGCACCCAGAAAGCCTCGATAAATGTTCATAGTAATTATATTATTACTACATTATTATTATTATGGAGCATGCTTTTTTAAACTTTTTTTTTTTTGTATGTGCCCCTAGCTGCTAGGGCCTAGCGGGAACTGAACCCGGGACTTCGTGGTCCTAAGGCCGATGCTCCAACCGCTGAGCCAAACTGGCCAGGGCTGGAGCATGCTTTTTTATTGGAGCAAATCGAGGGCAGCTATTCCTAGATTCTTATTCCTACAGCCATTCCTCTCATTTTAATGTAGGAGGTGATATCCCCACTTCAGGCAGAGGGTCTCTGACATCTTATGGCATGGGACACCCAGGTTTGTGGCTGTTCAGGACACTTCTCTGCCATTTGGAGGCAGGAAACAGAGAAAACCCTAAGTGGAAATGTGGTAATAATAGTCAGCATCAGGACATCTGGCTAAACACAAGAACTACTAGCTGAGGGAATGAGCTCTCTAAGGAAAGAGCAAGAACGCCAATGCTCAGGACCTTAGGAATCTTCTACGCTGTTCAATTGGCATCTGCCTGGCAAGCTAATAAATAGCTGAATGTGAGAACTGTTGGAGCAGCTTGGCTTAGTGGTATCAGCACAGAAGACATCAGGCACTGAACAACAGGTGTGTGTAAAAAAATGCTGAATGTGTGCAAAAGGAGGAAGTGAGTACAAGCAAATTCAAGATAATGACTGCCAGGCAAGATGCAAATCTCAATGCAATCCAAAGAAGATAATGTTCTAAAAGTGTCTCTTTCCTGTTATGGGGAAGATGGGAGGTGAGGGGTTGGGGGGAGTAACAGGAAGACATTTCTAGGTCTGTGGAGCAGGAATAACATCAAAGGGGAATGAAATGGGGTGGAGGAAGGGGTTTCCATACCAAGTCCTCAGCCATGGACTGTGCCCCGATATCTATGGAGAGGCTGCTCAGCTGAGGGGGGTTCTGAAATTCACGATAGAAGGTCCCCAGGTCCATCGGAAGAATGTCGTCTTTAGAAAAAGCCGGTTTCTTCAGAAACAAGACCAGACTCAGTTTAGCTTATCATGAACCACAGTGGAAAATCGGAGATGAACAACTCTCTTTCCTTCCAGTAAGTATCAAAGAAAAGGTTGCTCCAGGCTTATCTTAGGGAGAGAAGTCTTTACACCTTTTCTCTTCTGGGCAGCTAAATTCTAATCCTAACATTCCTCTTCTCTGGTTAGGGTTGTCACCTTCCTTTAAATCCTTTCCTTAGCACAGGGCTGTCCATTCAGGTATGAATAGAACCTACTGGAAAATCCCCATTTAGAGCTCAATTGCATTATGAATGTTGACCAAAGTCATGGTACAAAATGCCTTATTGTTCATTGGCCTCCAAAGGTCTCCCCAAGCAGGCCATGAAGGCAGGTTCCCCACATACACTGCCCTGCCAAGTGCCCACCTGTCCCTTCCCCTCTGTCTACATCCCTCTGGCCACCTGCTCCCTGCGAAGCAGGTGCTGTCTGAGTAAAACGGCTACCTCTAGGTTTATTTCCCCTGGGGCAGAAAAGGTCAAGGAAGGCAACGGCAACTTACGAAGTCGATCATGACAAAGTCGTCGTGGGTATTGCCACTGCTGCCGCCGCTGGAGCCCTCGGAGTGCAGGCTGCCCTGGAGGGGAGACTCGGTCTCTGGGGAGTCCGGAGGGTTCGCCTGATTCAGGAGAAGGCGGAAGCTGGGGCTAGTTACTGTTAACAACTGAGGATTCTGTAAGGGACCCAACTCAGGCTGCAAATTCCTAAGCCTTGGGGCAGGGCTAATGGTCTGTGGAAGAACAGTGACGTGCCCAGGAAGGACAATGACTGCAGCACGGGCTCACTGAAAACTTTAGACTCACCATGGGATCAGCATCCTCCAGTTCTAAATTCTTGGGAGCAAACATGGCAAAGGGTATGTCCAAACTCGTCAAGGTAACCTAAAGGGACACAGACAAAAGTATTAGTGTCCGTCCCTCCCCCAGCTTCCATGCTTCCACAGAGGCTGCCAGAAGCCTAGAGACGCAGCAAGTTCACACCCAGGTTGACTACTCTGCCTCTCAAGTTACTGTGTTGGAGACCCCCAATTTCCACCACCTCCCATCACAGGCCAACAGCATAAATAGGGGTTAGGGCTCCCAAGACCCCAGGACTCCAGCTTTGGAAGCTTGACCCACAGTATCTCAGTAAGAACTGTTTGCCGGCAGAGCAGAGGAGGAGCTTCCTATTTCGAGTTAGGCTGAGACAGACATTGCAGTGCAGTGTTTATACTGAATGGTGTCTAGCCTCCCTCTCCTATAGGAGGCATAGAAGATCACAGAATAGTTCCTAACTTTTTCTGGAGGAGTGTCACAGGTAATTAGCCCTCTTCACAAAAATTCACACACACACACACACACACACACACACACAATTCGCATGTAATGTCAGTAGCTGCACAGATCCCAGGTTAAGAGACTGCCTGTAAGGACTCACTCAGACAAGGTTTACAGGGGGCAGAGACAGAAAAATCACCTGATTGATGGGTTTGTTGACAAAAGCCCCCACTTTTCGGGCAAAGATGGTCTCCAAGACATCGTGGGGAGAGGCCCGTCCCTCACTGCTGTTTGATACAGTTTCAGTATCCTCGCTGGAGAAAAAAGGTAATGTTGGTACTCATTCTCAAACCACAGCGTAGCCTCCTTGGTTCCCCATGAATCTACCCTCTGGTGGGCTGCAGTTGCCCCACCCACCCACCTACTGGGGAACAGCAATATGTGGTCTGGCTGCTGCAGCTGTCACCCTCCCCTTTTAAGTTGAGAGAAGAGGTCTACACTTCCTGAAACAACTAAAAGCTATGCACATGTGAATGAAATTCGGTGTTATAAATGTGTAAAGCTTACATGAAATACCAATAAGCTTCAGTTATCATGCATATAGCAATCATACATAGAGGCAAGCAGCTCCCATAAACTGTAATTTAAATATTAATTACAGAGACAGACTCAAGATTTTAGCTGTTTTCTATCTCATTTTTGTTTAGCTTAGTTATCTAAAAATTGAATAAGATGGTATAGTTCACAGTACAATATTAAATTTAAGCCTTACCTCACAAGGAACACTGCCATTATTCCAAGTCAAGAGTCCAAAATTTGACTCTCTAGATAACCAGAGCTTTCTCCGCCCATGACAATCGCCTGGGCTGAGGTCCTCTGAGATACGTGTAACGTTTTCTCCCCGCTCCTCACCCCCAATCATTCCTCAGTTCAACAATACATTGAATGTGGCTCTTCCCACTGACCCCTCTGCAGCCCTCTAGTCTGATGCTGAGTCCTGGTGGTAGGAGGGCGCTCCAAGCAGCAGAGACAGGGGTCCATATTATGGCTGCCAGATCAGTAGTCATAGCCCTGTGAGTAGCAGGGTACAGGAAAGCTGCTCTGGCCAAAAGTAGGGGCTCATGGTGAGAAGGAGGGCTGTGAACTCCAAGTGTCCTCTGGACTCCAGGAGGCAGAGAGGACCAGCACTGAGGAAAGGCCTGAGCTCTGACCACCTGCACCAGGGTCCTCTGTCTTTACTTCCAGACATGCCCCAGGAGTTGAAGCTCAGAAAACTAGAGTATAAAATGACTAACAGGATCTGCCTTTGATTATCTAACAGGGGGAGGGATAAGAGGGTGGAAGTTTGGAAAGTGAGGAATGAAACAATTATTTTTCCTGCTGGACGGTGCAAAAATTTGACCTTCCCAAACAATTCCCTTCCCACCACCCCACCGTGGGAATGAAAAAAAAGATACCAGGAATTTCTATTATCCAAAAGTTCATTTAGGATGTGGCATGGCCATCAACGTCACTACCTCTGGGGACTTCCAGTCAAGGGAGGGCAGGTCAGATCAAGACAGCCTCAGCTTCCCATGGGAGCACTCGAGTGTAATGGAAAGAGTGAGCATGGACTTGAAGTCCAAGGAGCTAGGTTTGAGCCGGGCCATTGAGCAAACTAACTGCTCTTAGGCAAATTACTTAATCCTCCTGAGATCCTTTCTCTTCAAGGAAATAATAGTGTTGATTTTTGCAGGGTGGGATTATAACTTTAATTTTCTACCGAATCAATGTCTTTATAATGTAAATTTCAAAGAATGCATCATTTCTGCAACCAAAAAAGACAGATGTTTTTAAAATCTTAATGAGAAAAAATAGTTGTTTCTGAAAGATCTCCATGAGGCACTCACATAGCAGAAAAAGAAAATCAATCGTAACTACCCTCACAGATACACCATGGCCCCAGACTTCATGATAAACACCCTGTCTGGTCCTCAGGAAACAATGAAAACCGACTCCAGGGGAAAAACATCTGAAAAACCCCTTTGCTGCTGTTTGCTGTTAATAGTGAAGCTGGGGCCAACTTCCTTACATACCAGCTGCAACATAAGATTCTTATCGAGAACTTAAAGGAATGCACATTTGGGGCGCAAATGCCAAGCCTGAGCTAGTGCTGAAAGCTACTCTCTACTAATACCAAATAAGCACATATCAGGAAGACAGACAGGCCCCTGGCTGGCCTGTGCAGTGGCAGAGCCAAGAGGTGAACTCACCTGCTAGAAGGTGTGGCAGCACAGTGGGCCCCGTCAGAAGGGGTGTAGGTTGCCAATCTCTCCTGATCAGCCTGGGCACCGTGGGCAGGCTGGTTGGGAGCAAGGGGTACCCCACCTTCCTTCCCGGGAACCATTAGCTTTGGGGAAAAATGGAAAAATACAGTGAATTGTGGCAGCCTCAGACAGAAGACACTCACGGCCTGGCATGATGGTGTCTGCTTTCGAGCTTGTCCATCACCAGTGCTGCCATCTAGTGAGCAGGAAACCTTGGTTCTGTCCTCCCTGGGACTCAGTTAATGGGAGACATGCACAGCAATGACTACAGAAGGAAAAGGAAAGAGGGAGAAACACTTGGGAAGCTCTTCTCTCCTTTCTGAAGTTTAAGAGGCCCCTTCCTCTCAGAGTCATGTTAGTTCTCCGAAGTCACAAAAGAGCTTTGCTTCCAAACACTTAGAATGAAACTCGTATCTCCAGAGGCCCCTCAACTGCCTCAGGGCATAGGCAGCACAGGAACCCCCAGGGTCCTCCCCATCTTTAAAGATACCTGGTGAGGATGTGTGGTGTTTAAGCCAGCAGCAAACACTACTGGATAAGCCAGGTCAGCTGATCCAACGCCCAGGGCAGCAGGCTGATAGGAAAGGCGAGAGCTTGAGAGCTAAGCAAGAGAAAAACAAAGAGGGGCAGAGGAAAAGAGGAGGAAAAAACAGGCAATTCTAGAGTATGACTAAATGATCAAGACCAAAAAAGACTAAGGAATGGATCCCAGCCTACATCCTCATGGTACGAGGAGACTGGTGTGGGGTTAAAGACAAGGCCATTTCTTTTTAGATGGAACAGACTTGTTTGCAGTGGGACTAAGGTTCCCAGCTCTGCAGCCTTAAAAAGGCCTCAAATGACTCCCTTGCTCCCCCTTTTCTCAGTTAACTGTTTCCATTTCCACCCCAGCAGATCTGTGGAGCACAAGCCTAGGCAGAATTTGGAGTGAAAGTCATTAGTTTTTCCCAGGTCATTCTATTTTCTCCTTTGTCCTTGAGGTCCCTATGGAAAAGAAGGCATCTTCTCTGATCACACCCTCCCTCACCACTGGGTATGGGAGGGACAGTTCCTATTTACCTTGAAAAGGAAAGAATACCACTCTTGGATTGTTTATGTGGAAATAAGATATAAATAACTCCATGTATTTTTTACAGCAACGGGGGAGGAGGGACAACTGAATAATCCTATTTAGGTTACTCTGCTAGGGCTATGTCCTGTTAAAAATCAATTACCAACCCTCAAAATAACACACAGAACATTTGGGGACATTTAAATAGCTATACTCTGTACTTTATTTACAATTTTTAAATAAAAAGATGCCATCTAATTTATCCCCTTCTTCCCAGTGGACTCACTTGATGGGAAAAGGCCAGTCCTGCCATGGGGACCCTCAGGGTATCCGTCACCACAGGAGTAGGGGTCTGAAAATGTGCCTTTGTAACAGTAAACACACACTGTGCACAGAAACGAACAGAGACAGGAGAAACAAGAGAAGAAAAAAGAAAAGGGACTTGAGAAAGAAGTGAAAAAACTCCGAACAGGCAGTAGCAATAGAGGCTGAAATGCACAATGGAAGTCAGGGGTGAAGCAGGGAGAAAGCTGCAGGAAAGCCTGCTGAGAAGGGTCTGATGAGACGTTTATCCCAGGGTGATCCAATGCATGCGTGTCTCCCTGATGAGCAGGTGGAAAACAGTTGAGTCAAACTGGAATGACTTGGCAAAACAGAGAAATCTGAACCAATTATTAGCCTGTCTTTAATCAAGAAAATGGGAGGACATTAGAGAATGACCTCCAATAGGAAGGGCCCAAGAACAGCTGCAAGGTGTACTCAGGATGAATGAGGAAACAGATTAAAATGTTAGAATCCTTTTTTCTGGAGCCCTAGAATCTTCAGGGACAGTTTTAAAAAGTTGACATTTCTTGGTTGGCACTTTAAAATACTCAGGTATCCAGTTGCACTTTTCTACATCTCCAGGGAAGATGAGCAGGTATGTACAGATGTAGGCTTGGGGCTGTGTGCATGTGTGTGTATGTATGTGTGTCTTCTTATAGCCCTGATGTTGTAGAACTTATGTTGCAAAAGCTGGGGTACTTTAAAAACTCTTATGATTTCAAAGCTAATAATGGGGTTCAGGATTAATTTGGATCTTGCTATTCCATCTTTAATAAGCCTCACCAATTAGCTAATTAATGCTTAGAATTAAAGGTAGGACTTTAAGTCACAGTAGCAGGTTTAGGGTCACAACTATTAACTATTTCTTGACTCAAATGACAATATGATCCTTATTTTGTTGACAAAACAAACATTACATTAAGGTGTATTTATTGGATTCTAGCAAAAGCCCAAACAGAAGTTGTTGAACAATTATGCAATTCCCTAAGTTAAACCAAGGAAGAAACTATTTCAGAATTTACAAAATGAGGAGGACCTGATGGCAAATAATTTTCTCCCTGTTCAAAATTAGTATTTCTGCACCAAACTGTACCAGCCTTGATTAGAGGTGTTCAGGGACATGAGCAGGGCTCACCCATGGGGTGCTCAGTATCGACAAGATCTTGATGTAATCTACTTTTAAACTGTGACCAAGACCTAACAGGCAACTGATACCACAAAAAAAGATAGGCTCTCCTTACATAGGTCAACAAGCTTTTATGCAAACATCCCATGCAGAAACTACTTCTCTTTACTTTTGGAGCTGAGTGAAATTTCCACTGTATCAGAGACAAATTGATTTGTAAAGGCCCTCATATCTCCCAAGTCACAGCTTTATTTATTGTTTATAAATGTATCACTTACAAAACAAAACTTTAATGAACATTAAACTTGACATATTCACATTTTATTATCTTTAAAAGTAATCTAATTCCACTAATGTGCACTATTAAAAAAGTGGGCTTGCCCTGGCCAGTTTGGTTTAGCAGTTAGAGCGTCAGCCCACGGACCAATGAGTCTCAGGTTCGATTCTGGTCAAGGGCACACACCTCAGTTGCAATTTGGTCCCTGGTCCTGGTCAGAGTTGTGCAAGAGGCAACCAGTCGATGTGTCTCTCTCACATCAATGTTTCTGTCTCTCTCTCCTCCCACTCTGTCTGACATAGATGGAAAAATAGCCTTGGTTGAGAATTTATTTTTTTTTAAAAAAGAAGAAGAATATGGCCTTTCTCTGCTTTTTTTGTCAGTATTACTCTATGTCAGTAAGTGAACCAGAAGCTACCCCCTCCCAGAGCAACGGCGACATGCGGAAAGGGGAATAATCCCCACACCCCCAAACCAAACCACCTAGGCACTTTTACAACAAGACCCTCTTTAACTCTGAATTGGGACAATAGAAATAACAGTGATTTGTGGATTCTGAAATGTCCTCCACTCACATTTAGTTAGCTTTTGTGTCTAACTTCTGCTCTTGAAACATAATTTTAATCTAGTATCTCTCCTAACAACCTAGGATGGAATAAATTAAAATTTTTCTTAATTTAAAAAAACACAAAAAATAGCCCTGGATGGTATGGCTCAATTGGTTGGAGTGTTGTCCCATACTGAAAGATGGCAAGTTCAATTCTTGGTCAGGGCACATACCCAGGTTGCAGGTTTGATCCCCGGTAGGGGTGCATACAGAAGACAACCAATTGATGTTTTTCTCACATATTGATGTTTCACTTCTCTTTCTCTCAAATAAATTTTTAGAAGTTAAAAACAAAACAAAACAGAAAATAAAAACTTATGGATAGCTAATTAAGTTGCTGGATCCCCCAAACAAGATGGTGAGAAGGAATTATCTGGACCTAGTTTATTTTTTTTATTTATTTTTTTCTTTTTTATCCTCACCCGAGGATTTTTTCCATTTTTTGTTCAGATAGAGTGGGAGGGAGAGAGAGGAAGGGAGAGAGAGAGAGAAACATCGACGTGAAGGGACACATCGAGTGGCTGCCACCCACACGACCAACCAGGGCCGGGGACAAACTGCAACCGAAGTACGTGCCCTTAGCGGGAACCGAACCCGGGTCTCTACGGACCGCAGGCCGACGCTCTAACCGCTGAGCCAAACTGGCCAGGGCTGGACCTAGTTTAAAGGAAAGTAGAACTGAGTTGGTTTAGAAGAAACTGTCTAATGTGAAGGTCAAAGAGGAGGGAATAGAGATGATGGGCAGGTAGAGCAGGGATCTGCAGGGAATGAATGAGATGGAAGATGAAAGACTTAGGAAGGAAGGGAAGAAATGTGCCCTGAAATTCAGCCAGCTGAATTCCTTAGCAGAAACAGTCTTAGTACCATATACATTATACAACAAGGCTATACAGGCGCTTCCTCTTGGGAATCTGAGAACATTGTTTGGAACCTGTGTTTTACTGAAATTCAGTTTGACACTGAAGAGGAACAATGGAAGAGTTACTGGTTAAAAATGTTTAGATAGAGAATGCAGATAGGCAGAAATCTGTGCCAACTATTAAGAAAAATTGCCTGCTGGTTTCCTACCGGCAAAATGCTAAAATGTGCTAAATAATTATTGGCTCCTTTTAAGCTTCTTCCATGACTGGGAACCATATTTACCACTTCAAATGAGAAATAGCTATCAAATTAACAAGCAGTATGAGAATAAATATGGAATTCTGTGACTGATTTATCTAGGGAATTTTAAGATTTCCCCAGAAAGGTAAAAGTTACATGTACTCTTGTGAGTTAAGAATGGTTACTGCAATATTACCTGCTGGATAAGAAGGCTCTTCCTCACTGCTCAGAAGAGCCCCCTCGACACAATCACCACAACCACCAAAAGAAACTCTCTAAATTTGGTCACCATTTCGTGAGGCCCATACATGTGCCAAACAACTACCACCACCCCAGAACCCATTTCCCCCTACCTGGGATGGAGGAGAGGTGGAGAAAGAGGTGGTACACACTTCTTGAGAATCTTCCACAGAAGGATATGTTACCCCAGTGTCCTCACCAGTAGTAGTTCTATAGTGAGGGAAAAGGAAATCATGAATTTTATGGTGATGGCAGTCAATTTTAGAAAGGACACAAAGGGATGCATAGTTGTGACAACAGTTGTTTCAGGCAGAGTTCATAAGAGTTCAGCAAGAGAGCTGTTGAGTACTTCATAATTTCAAATATTTCCAGAGAGCAGCATCTAGATGTTAACAATGGCTTTTTTTTACCCAGACATCTTACCTGACATATCATTTGAGAGTATTTGCTTTAAGCCTGGCCAGTGTTGAGGCCAAAGAATGTCAGCAACTGACAGATTGTACAGACTGCAGTAAAATAAGTCTACACTCCTAAGACAAACCTTTCCAATTTCAGAAGACCTTCACATAAAGGCAGTATCCTTCCTGATACACATCTATTCCAACCTATAGAGAATTCTAGAATCTGCTTTCCGGGAACTAGGCCTGAAGATATTTAATTCTCATTATAACTGAATTGTACCAATAGTAACCTGAAAACCATCTGATTTGCAAAGGACATTCCACAAATTACTGCCACTCTTATAGTCTTTAAATCAAATCACTACTGTCAAGATCCATACTGTCCAAGAATTTTCTGATACATTCTGTATACTCCAGGTCTTGGTGTACTTTACAGGAAGCAGCAAAAAAGGAAGCTAGCCATTCTATTTCTTTCCATGTGAGGTCTCCATCAGTGCCCTATGCTCATCAGTGAGTTCTGGTAAGTGGCCTATGTACCTGTGCAAGATGGATGCTTCTGCTAGCTGCAGTTTGGGAAAGTGCCTTTCACATTCCTCACCTGTAATTGCAGGGGTGCATGGGTGAGGAGCTGGGATAGGGACGGTCCACAAAGTGATCAATGATAATCCCCATGATAGGTGGGGTCCTCTCAAATTGCCTGTAATGCAATAAGCAGATTGCAGTACTTGTTAGAATGCCTTGCCAGCCTCCCTGAAGTCCTCAGAGGGCCTTCTCACCTAATCTATTTGTAGAAACCACCAGACCCTTAACTATCGCATCCCAAAATATAAACCACCATCTCCACATTGTTGGCTCTGGAACACTCAGATTCTCCAACAACAATGGGCTCTCTCTTGATTTTATTCTTCAGAAGGGGACCGATTTCAGCAACGGCAAAGCTGAACTGCAGGCTTAGCCATGGAGCTTGGGTGAAAACAACTTTAATATCTTTAGAAGAGTTCTTTTGGATTCCTACATTCTTTCCTCACCTGGTGGACATGAATGCCAAGTTAATTCTGTAAGCACAAGAAAGAGTGATGGTGCCCACAGGAGTGCCCACTGTCCCAACACGAACTGTCTGGAAACCTAGGAGCAGAGATAAATAATTAGCTTTTTTCGCAGAGAATAATGACACTGCCCCCAGCCTATCATTTCTTGAATCATGCAGCCTATACAATCTCTGGCATTATCCACTTAGCATGTTGAGTGCCTCAATTTCATGTGTGATTTTTATTTTTTTCTTTCAATTAATTCTATATTCACCTAATATTAGCAAGGGAAATAGCACTCTATTTCCAGATAAAACTACATTCAAAGAGGTAAAACAACTGTTAATCCTAAAGCTTGAGCAAGTCCTAACCAATCCTGCCTGGACTGTCATATGCCCAATGAAACAGCAAAGGGGCACTAGGAATCTGACACACAAACACCTCAAATTTATAAAGTAACTATATTCACACTCAAGCTGCCAACCCAGAACTAAGTATGGAAAAGAGCCAGAGACTTGCAGATGATATTCCCAACGAAGCTTTCCTGGTTTTCTTGGTTTCATTTCCAATTTGTCAAAATTGATGCTCATGAGAACATTTAGCATGCTCACTACAGAAAATTAGGAAACAGACAATTGTATAAAGAGTAAGAAAGAGCACTGGCCGGTTTGGCTCAGCGGTTGGAGCGTCGACCTGTGGTCCAGAGAGACTGGGTTCGGTTCCCGCTAAGGGCACGTACCTCCGTTGTAGTTTGTCCCCGGCCCTGGTTGGTCGTGCGGGTGGCAGCCACTCAATGTGTCCCTTTCACGTCGATGTTTCTCTCTCTCTCTCTCTTCCTCTCTCTCCCTCCCACTCTATCTGAGCAAAAAATGGAAAAATGTCCTCGGGTGAGGATAAAAAATAAAAAATAAAAATAATAAGAGAGTAAGAAAGAATACTGAGTTGTTGGAACTTTGGGAAAATTATCCAGTCATTTCCTAGCGGCTCCTGGAACTACCTACCTGTCTTTTCCTTACTTGTGTCATACACATTAAAATCACAAGCTACATATTATTATTGGCAGCACCCAAGCCCATCTCTGAAGTCAGGAGAACTCTTAACAATACAAATGTTTTTCAACCTTGATACATACCTTCTCCTAAGCCATTCAACTGAACTTCCCCAAAATATATCCTGTAGGGAAAAAACGAAAAATGTTACCTGATTCTGTATTCTAATGGCCTCTATAGAAAAAACACCCAGAAACAAAATAAACAAAACAAACTTTCTTTTTCTTATCTACATGAAAATCTCTTTTTTTTTAAAACCTCTTCAGTTTAGCAATAATGCTATTACTTCAATTAAGATGCAGTCAAGGGGGTATGTATGGAGACTATTGGTTTAAAAATGAGAAAAATAGCCCTGGCCAGTTTGGCTCAGCGGTTAGAGCGTCGGCCTGCGGTCCGGAGAGATCCGGGTTCGGTTCCCGCTAAGGGCACGTATTTCGGTTGCAGTTTGTCCCTGGCCCTGGTTGGTCGTGTGGGTGGCAGCCACTCGATGTGTCCCTTCACGTCGATGTTTCTCTCTCTCTCTCCCTCCCACTCTATCTGTACAAAAAATGGAAAAATGTCCTCGGGTGAGGATAAAAAAATAAAAATAAAAATGAGAAAAATAATAAGTGGAAACTGCTATTTAAGTTTCTTTTTCCTTTTCCTGCAAGGTATTTATTTATTTCTGGTTAATCCTCACCCAAGGATATTTTTCCATTGATTTTTTAATATAGAGTGGAAGGGAGGGAGGGAGAGAGAGAGTGAGAGAGAAACACCAGGTGAGAGAGACACATTGATTGGCTGCAAGATCCTGACCAGGGCCGGGGATCAAACCTGAGACCCTTCGGTCTGTAAGCAAACGCTCTAACTGCTGAGCCAAACCGGCCAGGGCTATAATGTGTTTTTTTAAAGTATACTTACTAGGAAATAAAGAATATATAAATTAAATGAGCAGCCCTGGCCGGTTTGGCTCAGCGGTTGAGCATCAGCCTGCGGACCAGAGAGTCCTGGGTTCAGTTCCTGCTAGGGGCACATACCACAAAAAAAAAGAATAATAAAATGAGCCCTGGCCAGTTTGGCTCAATAGTTAGAGCGTTGGCCTGCAGTCCGATGGGTCACGGGTTTGATTCCTGATCAAGGGCACATACCAGTGCTGCAGGTTCAATCCCTGGCCCCAGTCAGGGTCATGAGGGAGACAACCAATCAACGTGTCTCTCACATCAATGTTTCTCTTTCTCTCTCTCTCCTTCCTTTCCAATCTAAAAAAAAAAAAAAAAAAAATCAATGAAATAAATATCCTCAGGTGAGCATTAACATAAAATAAACAAACAAATAAATAAAATATAATAACCTGCTGACCATAGCATGCCGACTTCTGCCATAATGTAATATAGGAATAATGTTAATAAGATTTTGCTAGATACACTCTAATAAAAAACTGACACTAGCCCTCGCCGGTTTGGCGCAGCGGTTGGAGCGTCGGCCTGCGGTACTGAGAGACCCCGGGTTCGGTTCCCGCTATGGGCACGTACCTCGGTTGCAGTTTGTCCCCGGCCCTGGTTGGTCGTGCGGGCGGCAGCCACTCGATGTGTCCCTTCACATCGATGTTTCTCTCTCTCTCTCCCTCCCGCTCTATCTGAACAAAAAATGTCCTCGGGTGAGGATTAAAAAAAAAACACAAAAAACTGACACTAAATCAGTAAATTTGAATATCGGTACAGTACTTAAAATAACCTAATCATGCTAAACTTATCCTTAGCTATACTTTTTTTTTCTTTATTGATTTGAGAGAGAGGAAGGGAGTGGGAGAGCGACAAAAACATCGACGAGAGAGAACATCGACAGACCACCTTCTGCATGCCCGCCACTGGGGATTTGGCCCACAACCTGGGCATGTGCCCTGACCGGGAATCAAACTGGTAACCTCTTGGTGCATGGGTAGGCACTCAACCACTGAACCACAATGGCTGAGCTCCTTAGGTATACTCTTTATACCATTCAGGTGCTAAACAAAAATTTTCTTCACAGACAGTAGACAATAAAACTTTAATGCAATCTTGATGAACAAAAAATTCAGAATGAGTTTCTGTAACAATGTAATTCTACAGCAAAATGATCAAATCTACCGGGTAAGGGAAAAAAAAACAACTTAAAGAAAGACAAGGCTATGCCCTGGCCGGTTTGCTCAGCGGTTAGAGCCTTGGCCCGTGGTCAAGAGAGACCCCCGGATTCGGTTCCCGCTAAGGGCACGTACCTCAGTTGCAGTTTGTCCCTGGCCCTGGTTGGGTCATGCGGGTGGCAGCCACTCGATGTGTCCCTTTCACGTCGATGTTTCTCCCTCTCTCTCTTCCTCTCTCTCCCTCCCACTCTGAGCAAAAAATGGAAAAATGTCCTCGGGTGAGGATTTAAAAAATAAATAAATAAATGAATGAATGAATGAATGAAAGACAAGGCTATTCTTTAATGCTATAAAGCTATACAGTTACTCTGTTAACAACAGTATAAAAAGGAAAAAAAGCTAAATTTACCTGAGATCATCCACTTCTCTCTGGTTTAAACCAGTTATTTGCATCCAAAAGCATTCCCAAATGATAAACAGTGAACAATAAATACTGTATTACTCCAGAAATACAAGATACAAGAAGACTTTAAATAGTGGTATTACAAGGATTAGGAGTCCTAGTTAACCAAGTTGATGACTAGTAGTATAATATGGCTACTTATAAAAGAACCAAAGTGAAGAGGACTTAGCACAGGTAAATGAGAGGTTAAGAAGTAGAAAGTAATCTTTCTGTTATATCTGAATAAAAGTCGAGTAATTTGGAATACTCAACTTGAAACCTGGGAAGACTATAGAGACAACAACAAAAACGTATAAAAAACTTAGAAAATAAACATGGGGAGGGTTGCTAGCTTATTGCTAAAAAAGTTAAAGAATGACTTAACTATTTTCAATACTAGATTGTTGCAACAGAACTAGTTGAGTCTCTAATCATCAGTCTTTCCATCCCGCTATCCTAATTCTTCTCAAAATCAGTTCTATACACGTTAGTCAAAGGCTTAAAACCAATGGTTGGTCACTAAATGAAAGAAAAGTCGTGGATGATTCAGGTCTCCTAATTTTCCATGCTCTGCTCTCACACTTTCTTCTACACCACCACTTTGGTCCATCAGACAATCTGAGTACAGTTCATACCTTGCCCTCACTTCTATGGCTTGCAGCTGTTGTACTCCGCACCTGGAGCAATCTTTCTCCCTCTCTTCTACCTGCCGAAATTCTCTCTGCCTCAAGGTCTAGCTTGAAGGCCACTTCCTCCATGAAGCCTATCTTGTATCTCCCCCCAGAAAAAATTTTCCCTTTCTCTGTTCTCCCAGTACTTTTTCCTGATACTGCTAAGCAGTTTTCAAATCCTACTTTTTATTAAATAATGTTATGTACCAAACTATTTCCCCCAACAGATTAGGAACATCCATAGGGCCTCTGTATAGTTCTTTCTTGGGCCTAAGACAATGCTTACATTAAAAAGGCACTCAAGCCCTGGCCGGTTTGGCTCAGCGGTTAGAGCGTCGGCCTGCGGTCCTGAGAGACCCGGGTTCGGTTCCCGCTAAGGGCATGTACCTCGGTTGCAGTTTGTCCCTGGCCCTGGTTGGGTCATGCGGGTGGCAGCCACTCGATGTGTCCCTTTCACGTCGATGTTTCTCCCTCTCTCTCTTCCTCTCTCTCCCTCCCACTCTGAGCAAAAAATGGAAAAATGTCCTCGGGTGAGGATTTAAAAAATAAATAAATAAATGAATGAATGAATGAATGAAAGACAAGGCTATTCTTTAATGCTATAAAGCTATACAGTTACTCTGTTAACAACAGTATAAAAAGGAAAAAAAGCTAAATTTACCTGAGATCATCCACTTCTCTCTGGTTTAAACCAGTTATTTGCATCCAAAAGCATTCCCAAATGATAAACAGTGAACAATAAATACTGTATTACTCCAGAAATACAAGATACAAGAAGACTTTAAATAGTGGTATTACAAGGATTAGGAGTCCTAGTTAACCAAGTTGATGACTAGTAGTATAATATGGCTACTTATAAAAGAACCAAAGTGAAGAGGACTTAGCACAGGTAAATGAGAGGTTAAGAAGTAGAAAGTAATCTTTCTGTTATATCTGAATAAAAGTCGAGTAATTTGGAATACTCAACTTGAAACCTGGGAAGACTATAGAGACAACAACAAAAACGTATAAAAAACTTAGAAAATAAACATGGGGAGGGTTGCTAGCTTATTGCTAAAAAAGTTAAAGAATGACTTAACTATTTTCAATACTAGATTGTTGCAACAGAACTAGTTGAGTCTCTAATCATCAGTCTTTCCATCCCGCTATCCTAATTCTTCTCAAAATCAGTTCTATACACGTTAGTCAAAGGCTTAAAACCAATGGTTGGTCACTAAATGAAAGAAAAGTCGTGGATGATTCAGGTCTCCTAATTTTCCATGCTCTGCTCTCACACTTTCTTCTACACCACCACTTTGGTCCATCAGACAATCTGAGTACAGTTCATACCTTGCCCTCACTTCTATGGCTTGCAGCTGTTGTACTCCGCACCTGGAGCAATCTTTCTCCCTCTCTTCTACCTGCCGAAATTCTCTCTGCCTCAAGGTCTAGCTTGAAGGCCACTTCCTCCATGAAGCCTATCTTGTATCTCCCCCCAGAAAAAATTTTCCCTTTCTCTGTTCTCCCAGTACTTTTTCCTGATACTGCTAAGCAGTTTTCAAATCCTACTTTTTATTAAATAATGTTATGTACCAAACTATTTCCCCCAACAGATTAGGAACATCCATAGGGCCTCTGTATAGTTCTTTCTTGGGCCTAAGACAATGCTTACATTAAAAAGGCACTCAAGCCCTGGCCGGTTTGGCTCAGCGGTTAGAGCGTCGGCCTGCGGTCCTGAGAGACCCGGGTTCGGTTCCCGCTAAGGGCATGTACCTCGGTTGCAGTTTGTCCCTGGCCCTGGTTGGTCGTGCGGGTGGCAGCCATTCGATGTGTCCCTTCACATCGATGTTTCTCTCTCTCTCTCTTCCTCTCTCTCCCTCCCGCTCTATCTGAACAAAAAATGGAAAAATGTCCTCAGGTGATGATAAAAAAAAAAAAAAAAGGCACTCAAGCCCTGGCCAAGTTGGCTCAGCGATTAGAGCGTCAGCCTGCGGTCCAGAGAGACCTGGATTCGGTTCCTGCTAGGGGCACGTATCTCGGTTGCAGTTTGTGCCTGGCTCTGGTTGGGTTGTATGGGTAGCAGCCACTCGATGTATCCCTTTCATGTCGATGTTTGTCTTTCTCTCTCCCTCCCACTCTATCTGAACAAAAAATATCCTTGGGTGAGGATTAAAAAAAAAGGCACTCAAGCCCTGGCCAGTTTTCTCAGTGGTTAGAGCATTGGCCGGTGGACCAGAGAGGCCTGGGTTCGGTTCCCACTAAGGGCATATACCTTAGTCGCGGTTTGTCCCTGGCCCTGGTTGGTGTTGTGTAGGTGGCGGCCACTCGATGTGTCTTTCTCATGTCAATGTTTTTCTCTCTCTCTTCCTCCATCTTTCCCTCCTGCTTTATCTCAAGATAAATGCAAGAGTGTCCTCGGGTGAGGATAAAAAAATAAAAATTAAAAAAAAAAAAAAGCCCTGGCCGGTTTGGCTCAGTGGTTGGAGCGTCGGCCTGCGGTCCGGAGAGACCCGGGTTCGGTTCCCGCTAAGGGCATGTACCTCGGTTGCAGTTTGTCCCCGGCCCTGGTTGGTCGTGCGGATGGCGGCCACTCGATGTGTCCCTTTCACATCGAAGTTTCCCTCTATCCTCTATCTCTCTTCCTCTCTCTCCTTCCCACTCTATCTGTACAAAAAATGGAAAAATGTCCTCGGGTGAGGATAAAAAATAAAAAAATAAAAATAAATAAAAATAAAAAAAGGCACTCAATAAATATTTTTTGAGGTGAAATAGTTCAAGGAAAATATTCAAAGAACTGTTGACCAGTTCTCTATATCCATAAACAACTAATTAAAAACAAACTGAATTAGCAGTTTGTTAGACAAAAAGTTTTTTGTTTTTTAAAAAAATTTTTTTTTTATTAATTTTTTTGAGAGAGAGAATAGGATAGGGAGAGAGAAACCTGGATGAGTGAGCACATGGATCAGCCGCCTCCTGCATGCCCCCCAGTGGGGACCTGGCCCACAACCTGGTCATGTGCCCTGAACCGGCCACCTCTTAGTTTATGGGTTGATGCCCCACCACTGAGTCACACCAGCCAGGCTTGTTTTTTTTTTAATCCTCAACCGAGGATATTTTTTCCTTTTATCTTCAGATAGAGTGGGAGGAGGAGAGAGAGAGAGGAAAAAAAAAATCGACATGAGAGAGACTCATCAACTGGCTGTCTCCCTCGCGATCCTGACCAGGGCCGGGAACCGAACTGCAACCGAGGTACGTGCCCTTGACTCGAATTGAACCTGCGACTCTTTGGTCCATGGGCTGACGCTCTAACCATTGAGACCAAACTGGCCAGGGTGACAAAAAGTTTTAATTTAACTCTGGAATATAGAAGGCTGGAATCTGCTCAGGATAGTGTTTTATTTATTTATTTTTTGTTAATCCTCACCGGAGTATATATTTTTTTAATTGACTTTTAGATAGAGTGGAAGGGAAGGAGGGAGAGACAGAGAGAGATACATCAATTGGTTGCCTCCTGCAAGACCCTGACCAGGGCTGGGGATCAAACCTGCAACCCAGGTACATGCCCTTGACCAGGAATCAAACCCACGACCCATTGGTCCACTGACCAATGCTCAAACTGCTGAGCTAAACCAGCAAGGGTGACAGTCTGTTTTTTAAAGTCTTAAGCTCTTTTTCCTGCTTTGAGGTCATGTCAGTAGGACCTCAAAATCCTATCCATAGGAATCATGACTGTGCATAAACAGAAGGACAAAGAACTTGGTAGCTTTGGAAAGCTGAGTTCATAAAGGAAGATGGATAGACAATCATAGTAAAGCTGTAGCATCAACTGTCCAACCAACCACCTGTCCAAAAATTAATCACAGAATACCTAAATAATACCTGGATTCCAGTCAGACAATGTGCAAAGTGATGAAGCTGACAACTGAATTGAGAAGGTGAGCAGCCATGCTATTTACCTGTATAATATGACGTATTCATGCCCTTGTTTCCTTGAGAGTCTATAAGCTGGTGTCACCCTAGTTATAGCCAGCAGAGACTTCAGCAGCAATGATAGTCTGTTGTACACTGTGTAGGAAACTTTGATTTCTTTATCACACCTGTGGAGCACACAGACACTATCAGCATTCTCCTATTCAGCTTATATAAAACAAAGAAGAGAAACGCAGTGGCTATAGAGATATGTTATGTTCTAGCTACTGACTGAGCTTAACTTGTTAGCATTATCCATAAATTCTGATAGAACATAAACTGCTTTGCAGTCCAGATACATCATTCAGAGTATGACAGCCAACAGAAATGGCTGCAAATTAAGCACTGGAGCTGTATAAAATTAAATTTATTATTAAAACATGCTCTGAACTAAAGGTATAATTAGAGCTCTTCTTCAGTTTACCAACAGATTGTTGAGATAAGACAATAAACCAAAGTTTCACTTTCTCATGCACTGGATACAGGGAGATGGACACCAAAAGGTACCAAATTTTTTTCTAGTTTTGAAAGCAGTTATCTTTCTAAGAAATAAAGCAACACAATTAAAAATAGTAATTCAATGTTGCAGTTATATAAATGAGGATGCAATTACAATTTCAATGTACCATCTTATGAGCTGTTCAACTCTATACATCTGTTTGGTACTAAAATTGTGGACTATAACCTGGCAACTTTTCCATTTTTAAAAAATCTCAATACTACATATATTTATTACTAAAAATGTTCTTTTGATGTGCTGTTATTTCCTCACATTTTCTATATGTATAATCATCTTGAAAACTAAAACTTCAGGCAGGAAGTAAGCCAATCTGCCTTGAAAGAAGAAAATGAAGGAGGGGAATAACATGCATTTCTAATCCATGACCAATACTGTATAAAAAGGAGTAGGGAGGGGAAATCTTATTGGATGTCTGCCACACAGAAACAGACAAAACAGAGTAGTCATGTTACAAGAGCTCCCCAGGGATTTAATCAGAGAACTATCTGTACTCTGGGAAAACAACAAACCCTTTCAGTTTTCTTTCTGCTCCTTTCCCTGTGGTATCTGAGTCTCTCTGGACTGATGCTCCCTCTGAAGGTCATTTCTGCGCCAGGGCTGGACACCACGCATGAAGCAAATTGTAGCAAAAACCTATTAGTTTTTTCAAGTGAGTAGAACATCCTCCATGACTGATAACAAAGCCCTATTTCCACATGATGTCATCTGTTTTATCCTGAGGTACAACAACCAAAGAACCTAAGACAGAGAACTTACTTTTCATTCATTTCAAGACACCAAATTTCTAGTTCCATGGAATCTCCCTATAGATGGGATAAATGAAAGATATTTTAATTGTGTTTTTTTTAAATTATCTTCTTTTTTCTTATTACAAATACTATATATTCACTGTAAGATATATTATAAAGTATAAATAAGCAAAAAGAAAAGGATAATTTATAATCCAATCATCAGCCACTTTTCTAAATAAAATAAAAGTGAGATCATACCATATATACTAATTTTATCACCTAGTTTAATTAATAAATACATGGAATTTTTCTTATAATTAAAAATTCTGGCCCAGCCAGTGTGGCTCAGTGGTTGAGCATCGGCCTATGGACCAATAGGTTGCCAGTTGGATTCCTGACCAAGGCACATGGCCAGGTTGTGGGTTCGAACGATCAGGTGGTGTTGCAGGAAGCCAACTGATGTTGAAATTTCTCTCTCATCAATGTTTCTATCTCTCTCCTTCCCCTTTCCTCTCTAAAATCAATAAAAACGTATTTAAATAAATACAAATTCTGCATTATTTTTAACAGTTGCATAGTATTCCAAAACATGACCATTTTATCTAATCGGTCCCCCCATATTTGGACATACAGGTTGTTTCTTATTTTTCACTAATACAAACAACATTATGATAAATAGCCTTGAGACTAACACTTTGCATGTACCCCAAATTAATTTCTTAAGGCAAATTTCAAAAGTAGAATTGTTAAATCAAAGAGTATTCCTGGCCCTGGCCAGTTTGGCTCAGCGGTTGGCACGTCGGCCCATGGACCAGAGTGTCCCGGGTTTGGTTCCTGCTGAGGGCACGTACCTCGGTTGCAGGTTGTCCTCGGTCCCGGTTGGGGTCATGTGGGTGGTGACCAGTTGATGTGCCTCTCTCAAATTGATGTTTCTTCCCCACCCCACCCTACCGCTCTTTCTGAAGATAAATGCAAAAAATGTCCTCGGGTGAGGATAATAAAACAGAGTATTCATGTTTTGAAGACTTTTGCTATGTGTATCCATATTGATCTTCAGTAAGGTCAACACTTCCAATGATGAAGAGAGCCTTTCCCTCCAATTCTATAGGGGGTATTTTAGGTGACACCCACAATTAAAGAACACCTTAACAAGCTTCTTTCTTTAATCTTTTTAGCTGTCTGATGTCTTTAGCCAAACTGTTCAGTCTCTCTCTGTATTACTCTGAACAGACTTAGTGAGAAGGTAAGAAAAGACAAGACTAAAGCCAGAATCCCTCAACCCTGTAATATTCCTATGCGTCACTTAGTGATGAAGATAGTCACATACTTTTGGACTTAAGAAACTTTTTTACTAATCTGTTGTAAGAGGGCATTCTTTTAGGTTTGAGAATAACCTTTGGTTCGTTTGTGGACTAGAGAACTATATTTGTTCTAGATCAAATTTAAATATCTATTCTTGCCCTGGCCGGTTTGGCTCAGCGGTTGGAGCGTCGGCCTGAGGTCCAGAGAGACCCGGGTTCGGTTCCCGCTAAGGGCACGTACCTTGGTTGCAGTTTGTCCCCGGCCCTGGTTGGTCGTGCGGGTGGCAGCCACTTGATGTGTCCCTTCACATCGATGTTTCTCTCTCTCTCTCTTCCTCTCTCTCCCTCCCGCTCTATCTGAACAAAAAATGGAAAAATGTCCTCGGGTGAGGATAAAAAATAAATAAATAAATATCTATTCTTAATATATACCCCTTTCATTATACTGTCATTTTTCAATGACACAATGAATTTGAATCTATCCCCCCCCCCCCCAAAATCAGGGGATGAAAGGAGGCATCTAAAACGTAGTTTCTCTAGGCCAATTAGAACAGTTTATAGTCATATTTCACATATGCCTGAGAGAGGAAAGAGTTCTTCTAGCGATTCCTTTTAAACTCTCTATAAATCACTAAAAAAAATAATTTATAGTATAAACTGGCAAGTCAGGAAAGAATATGAAGTTTTGTTTTATTTGGCTCTAAAGTTTCCATGAAATAAGTATAAATAACTATTGACAATATTCATCCAACAAAATTCACTGAGAGTTTACTACATGCCATCCTAGGCACTGTGTTAGGCACAGAGTTAATTATTTATGTATATCCTGCCTCATTTCAAAAAGAATTTAAAGAACTACAAGGATAAATAAGATGTAGCATAGCTGTTGGCCTCCAGAATAAAAGTGTAAAGTATGAACAGGAACATGTAATAATTGCCTAGTATGTTATGTTAGTCACTTTACAAATAAGGATTAAATATAAAAATACTGTATTCCTGCATGACTGTGAAGTGTAGTGTTAGCTTAGTGGTGTTGGTGGGGATGGGGTTAAGTAATTTGGCCAGTCACTCAGCTGGGACCTGAACTTGGGTCTATGTAGCTCAACTCCATCTCCCTTTCATTATACCATGCAGCCTTACAATCTTGTAGTGGAAATAGATTAATAAACACACAAGAAACAATATCTGCCTCAATCCTAATGTGGAATAAGGTGAGCAAGTTTTTATAAATCACTATATAGCAGGTTCTACTCTAGAAACGAATACAAACAAAGTGCATGAGAAGTCTAAAGAAAGTAGTTACCTCTCCCTCTAGAAGGGGGCAGATTTTCTAGAGCATGTAAGTCTTGAGGATAAGTAGAAACATGTCATATATAGATGATATATACAAAGATGAGGGTGATGAGCCTATTGCAGGTGGTTGGAAGAAAAAGTACAAAAACCACGACTTTCTCAGAGAATGATGAGAAGTTCAGAGAGGAAAGGGGCAGGAATAGGGCTGAGTTAGAGTCATAGAGGGAAGAGCTTTGAGTGCCAGTTAAGACACCATCCTGGCCATAACCTTACCTCAGACGTCTTGAGTGAGATCTCAACACACATAGATCTCCCAACGGCAGGCAGCTGCCCTGCCAGAGCCTTTTTTGCTTCATGTGTAACTTCTGGGATGTCTTTGATTGCTAAATTGAACTGGAAAACAAAAGGGACTTTTCACTCACAGACAGCATTATGTAAACATAAAGTAGTCAGACTGTATGTTGGGTAATGCAGGCATTGCTTTGACTGATTAAGGACATTCATTCACTTCTTTCTTCACCATAAGAGGTATCCTGCATCAAAACCCCAAAGCTCAGCTGGTCTGGTGTGGCTCAATGGATAGAACATCGTCCCATGGCCTGGGAGGTCCTGGTTTGATTCCTGGTTTGATTCCTGGTCAGAGCACACGTGGGCTCCATCCCCAGTGGGGGGCATGCAGGAGGCAGCTAATAGATGTCTCTCTCCCACACTGATGTTTTTACCTCTCTCTCCTTTCCTCTCTTTCTCAAATATCAATAAAAAATATATTTTTTAAGAAAGTCCCAAAGCTCAGGCTGAAACTGCTAATGACCTAGGACAAAAATTATTAACAAGATATTTTTGTTTTCTAAAGATTAAGCTTTTCACCGAAAACAGCAGAAAGCCAAGAACCAAATAAATCCAGGACTAACATTCAATGAAGAACATACTTTCCAAGTGAATGGATCAAATGGAAGTAGATATTTATTTATTTACTTTACTGATTTTAGAGAGAGAGGAAGGGAGAGGGAGAGAAAAATAGAAACATCGATGAGAGAGAACATCGACTGGTCGCCTCCTGCATGCCCCCCACTGGCGATTTGGCCCACAATCAGGGTATGTGCCCTGACCGGGAATCGAACCGGCAACCTCTTGGTACATGGGTCAATGCTCAACCACTAAGCCACACCAGCAGGGCAATATTTTTTTTTTCATTATATTTTTTTAAATCCTGAGTATATTTTTCCAATTACTTCCAGAAAGAGTGGGTGGGCGAGGAGAGAGAGATATCAATGTGAAAGAGACACATCAATTGGTTGCCTCCTGCACAAACCAACCAGGGTGGGGAAAATAGCAACTGAGGCATGTGCCCCAGACCGGAATCAAACCTGAGACTCTTCGATCTGCGGGTCAACATTCCAACTGCTGAGCCAAACAGGCCAGTCCAAAGTAGGTATTTTAATGTTATAATTTAGTAACACCATAAACAGTATCACTTATTACTTCACTTTGAGTCCATGTAACAAAAACCACAGTATACCCCTTAGCCAAAGAATAGGAATTTTACCCAATCTGAACCCGTTGGAGATGAAGATGAACGAGTACAAATCTTCTCGCCAAGTCGAGCCTGGACAATCACTTGAACCGTCTAAAAAAAAAAACACAAAAGCCAAACAAATACTAAAAAAAAAAAAAAAATCAAAGATGAAAAATATCTTAAATTGATTTGGCTCCCGATCAGGATTAAAACTCTTCCAAAGCAGGATTTAAAAGATGCCAATAACTATACTTTAGTACCTTAACACATTCAAGAACAGACGGAAAGAAACACTATACAAAAAGAATACTGTAAATATTCCTGAGGACACAGTGTCAAACAATTAGAGGAATTATAGTTTGAGGCTTGGAATCTGTAATGTTCTCACATGGCATAAGTTGCACATGGTGGTTCGACTTTCATAAAGAAGTAAGTCCAACAGTAGGTGTAAATATTCATGGCCATACACTTATATAATCATAGTAGATTCCACAATTATTCATATCTTTTGGACCATATGGCAAAAGTCTTCCAACTACTTTACAACCAGAATCTATTGCATGAATTGTTCTTACATGGCAATGTTTGAGAAGGAGTGATAAAGGTGGAAATAATTTTTAGATTTAGGAAAATATAACTTCTAAAGCATTCAAAATTCAGTTTTATTTCCACATTTACCCAGAATGGAACAATAAATGAAAGTTTAGACATTTCAGAGTTACGTGAGGCTTAGGGAAAGATGCCCAAAATGCTGTCCATTTCAGTCCACAGTGTTTGTTCCCACCCCAAGGGAACATACTGCACCAATAACCTGGCATAATAGTTTGACATTTCTGCAAACAGCTTTACACAAAAAATATTTTTGAACAAGTAGCTGTGGAAAATTGGAAGCTACTTTTTAGTTACACCCCCAGTACCACCCCCAAACTTCACAGTTTGGTTTACAAACAGACAGAAGTATCCATTAGAATGGGCAAGCTGCAAGCTGTTATGCTGTATTTCCAAAAAGAGAGAAGCACAGAAGTGATTTCCAACAGTTCCAGGCTCAAGAGAATGGATATATTTACCTTGAGGGCAAAAAATTTAATGAACTTGTCCAGGTCCTTTCTGTCCTGGGAATTGAGATCAGTTTCCATTGCCTATGGGAATCTAAAACAGAAGAAAAAAAAATGTTGAAAATGTGGCTAATATCTTTTAAAAGGGATTGCTACACCAAAGTATATAGAGATGGCATTGTCTAAGAGTTGTGTGAACAGTCAAGTGGGAGGGGGAAAAATTCCCCTCTAGCTAAAGATACCAAAGTGAAAAATATTAAGATACTATCTTTTGAGGAAAATAAATGCTACACAAAGAGCTCAATCTAGGGACCTATAAAATGGATGAGGATAAGCCATTTTATCTGAATCTGAATCTTTGAGCTTTAAATATCACTTATGTATTAAAAATGTATTACCCAGCATATTGAGAACTAAGTTTTACTGAGACAAAAACTTTGTTTAAAACATAAAATGAGTTAATGTACATTTCTTCAAAAGGCCACTAAATCAATTTAACTTTGGGGAGGTTTATGGACTTTTTTGAGAATCTAATGGCAAGACAAGCCCTTTCTCCAGAAAAATGCACATACATGGAAATGTTTGGATATAACTGCAGGGGGTTCATGGATTTCAGAAAGCAGCACATCATAATACCCCCAGGTTGAAATAGTTTGAAATGGGGCTAACGTGAGGAAGAAAGTATTTAGGGAGAGAAGAGCATGAACAAAGAGGTATAAGCAACAGAGAGCAAAATGGGGTTGGAACCATTAAGTATTCTGGTTTTTCAGAGGATTACGTATGAGCGGGTAAGTAGTATGGCTGGTCAAGGTCAGACCATGAGAGTCTTAAATATAATGCTAGAGCCTGATCTGCATCTAGTAGGCAGCCTCCTCAAGGTTTTTGAGAAGTAACAGAGTATTAGTAACATTTGAATGGTGCTTTGCTGACATGTTGTGTAATAGTTCTGAGGATGAAAACCAGGGAGACTGCCCAGCCTGTGTGGCTCAGTGGTTGAGCATCCACCCATACACCAAGAGGTTATGGGTTTGATTCCTGGTGAGGGCACATGCCCAAATTGCAGGCTTGATCCCCATGGGGCATGCAGGAGGCAGCCGATCAATACTGATATTTCTCTCCCATCAATGTTTCTCTCTTTCTCCCCCTCTTCCTTCCTCTCTCTCTAAAATCAATTAAAACATATTTTAAAAAAGAATGGATTTTCAAAAAAAAAAAAAAGCAGGGAAACCAATTAGGTTATTGGAAATAATTCAGACTTGTGGGCAAGGCTAACACTATAGTTACAGACATGATCTGGAAATAGTATGGATAGGAGATGTTTTAAGAAAGAGCTGAAAAGATCTAAAGACTGACTGCAAAAGGTTAATAGTATTTCAGATAACAAAATACAGAGAAGCCAGAGGGAGAGCTGGTATTAAGGAAAGGTATAAACAAAAGGAGAGAGTTGAAATAGGAAGTAATGAGTACAAGTACACATATAAAAATAAACAACAAACCATTGTTCTTTATTTATTTATTTTTTTAATATGTTTTTATTGAATTTTTAGAGAAAGAGGGAGAGGGAAAGAGAGAAACATCGATTTGGCTGCCTCTCACATGCACCCTATTGGGGATCAAGCCTTAAACCCGGGCATGGGGAATCGAACCAATGATCTTTTGTTGCATGAGACTAAGATCGACCCACCAAGCCATACCAGCCAGGCAAACCCACTATTCTTTTTTTTTAAATTTCTTAATCCTCACCCAAGGATATTTTTCCATTGATTTTTAGATAGAGTGGGAGGGGGAACAGAGAAAGAGAGAGGAAGAGATAGATGTGAGAGAGACATATCGACTGGGTGCCTTACGCATAAATCTGACTGGGGCTGGGGATCAAATCTGCAAATGATGTACATGCCCTTGACCGGGAATCGAACCTATGACTCTTCAGTCCATGGGCTGATGCTCTAACTGCTAAGCCAAACCAGCAAGGGCAAACCCACTATCCTTTATTGAGGTATAACTAACATGCGCTAAAATGCACAAACCTCGGGCAGACAGTTCAATAAATATTTTATATGTATATACCTTTATAACCACAATCCAGATCAAATTATAGAACATTTCCAATGATGCTCCTTTGTGTTCCCTCAGTCAATAAACCCACCAAGAGTTACCCACCAGAATGCTAACTTTTTGGAAACACTTCATAAAAAACATGCTAAATTTCAGTTATCAAAGTCTATATGAGATACTCCCACTCCCACTTTTGGAGCCCCCTTCTTCATTTGGCTTAAAAATGCTGGTAGCGCCCAGCCGTTGTGGCTCAGTGGTTGGGCATCAACTCATGCATGAAGAGGTCACCGGTTTGATTCCTGGTCAGGGCACATGCCTGGGTTTCGGGCTCGATCACCACTAAGGGGCGTGCAGGAGGTAGCCGATCGATGATTCTCCCACATTAATATTTCTATCTCTTGCTCTGGCCAGTTTGGCTCAGTGATTAGAGCGTCGGCCCACGGACCGGAGAGTCCCGGGTTCAGTTCCCACTAAGGGCACATACTTCAGTTGCAGTTCGTTCCTAGTCAGGTTGGGGTCGTGTTGGTGGCAACCATTCAATGTGTCTCTCTCACACAAATGTTTCTCTCTCTCTCCTTCCCTCTCTCCCTCCCACTCTATCTGAAGAAGATAAATGCAAAAATGTCTTCGGGTCAGAATTAAAAGAAAAATTTGTTTTAAATATTTCTATCCTTTTCTCCTTCTCCCTTCTTCTCTCTCTAAAAATAAATAAAAATCTATTTTAAGGCTTTCAGTCAAGAAGTCCTACAACTATGAAATTAAAGAAGCCACATCAAGACGGGGAGAAGGGGCTGAGGTCCAGACAAGCTGGGCCCTGCTCCCCGCCACACACACGTGCACGCACACACGTGGCACAGATAAAAATCATGGAGATACCTCAGCTGTGAAGGTCCTCCCTGAGGAGCAAGGGGTCCCCATACTACACCAAGCCCCCAGCTCAGGGTTCCAGTGCCAGGAAGAGGAGTCCCCATAACGTTTGGCTGTAAAAACCAGCAGGAACTAAGGCTGAGGGAGGGCTTCTGGAGCCCCAGGTAGCTCTTCTTAAAGGGCCCACGCATAGACTTACTCAACCCACTCCCTCCAGGCTCCAGCATGGGGGAGGCAGCTTGAAAGCACCAGAGACATATAGGGAAGAACTGAGTTGTTTGGACTGGGGCAAGGACTGGAGATGCAGCTTTCTCCTGGACATACATGCTGGTGGAGGGAGGCCTTGTTCCTTTGGTGAGCCCTTCCCCCCCAGGGCAGGCAGATGGCCACCATATCTGAGACTCCAGCAACTTGGCTCATACTGTTTGCCCTGCCCCACCCAACTTTCAGGCCCATCCAAGCTGTTTCCAGTGGCTTTACCATAGGATTGGCCTGTCTTGGCTCCTGCTTCAGATTCTCCTAAATTCTATCAAACAAGCAGCATCTGGTCACAGCGAGCCCCATACCTCTCGCTAAGTGGCCCTAGGCCTGGCACTAGAAGCAGCCAACCTGGGTTCACAGCACAAGAAGCAGGCATAGCAGATCACTTTGTAGCTTATGCCTAGTGGCCCTGGGTCAAACACAGACAATAGCTGACCTTGCCCCAGAGCCAGCACACCTAGTGGACAGCTTCAGACCACGTCGAAACACCACTACCCAACCACCTCCACAAGTGACACACTCAAGGAATGGACTTGGCCCTGGCCGGTTTGGCTCAGCGGTTAGAGCGTCGGCATGCGGTCCTGAGAGACCCGGGTTCGGTTCCCGCTAAGGGCACGTACCTCGGTTGTAGTTTGTCCCCGGCCCTGGTCGGTCGTGCGGGTGGCAGCCACTCGATGTGTTCCTTTCACATCAATGTTTCTCTCTCTCTCTCTGTTCCTCTCTCTCCCTCCCACTCTATCTGAACAAAAAATGGAAAAATGTCCTCGGGTGAGGATAAAAAAAAAAGGAATGGACTTGGAGGTACCAGAGCACTGCTGAAGTAAGTCTTGCTCTACAGGGTGGGCCCCTGCAACTGATAAGCATGAGTAAAACCTCATGCTATTGACGTGCCAACAACAATCAAGACTCAATTACATGCCCTGGCCAGTTTTGCTCAGCGGTTAGAGCATCAGCCTGTGATCCAGAGAAACCCGGATTCGGTTCTCACTAAGGGCACGTATTTCGGTTGCAGTTTGTCCCCGGCCTGGGTTGGGTTGTGTGAGTGTCAACCACTCGATGTGTCCCTTTCACGTTGATGTTTCTCTCTCTCCCTCCCATTCTATCTGAACAAAAAACGGAAAAGTGTCCTCGGGTGAGGATAAAAAAACAACAACAAAAAAACAAAAAAAAGACTCAATTACAACAGAAGGGTATATAGTCCACACAAGGGGTACACCTTGAGGGCCAGCTGGGTGATCAGGGAGACTGTGCGACTGGACCCTACACGACACCTTCAACAACAGGCCACCCTAGGAAACCTAGGAGACACAGCAACTCTACCTAATACATAGAAACATAGGGAGACAGCCAAAATGAGGAGACAAAGAAACATGTCCCAAATGAAAGAACAAAACAAAACTCCAGGAAAAGAACTAAATTAAATGAAGATAAGCAACCTAACAGATACAGAGTTCAAAACACTGCTTATAAGGATGCTCAATGAACTTAGTGAGGACCTCAAGAGCATAATAAAGGATTATTTATTATCTGAAATAAAGAATAATTTACAGCCTGGCCAGCGTGGCTCACTGGTTAAGCGTTGACCCATGCACCAAGAGGTCGCTGGCTCAATTCCCAGTCAGGGCACATGCCCAGGTTGTGGGCCTGATCCCCAGTGTAGGGCATGTAGGACGCGGCCAATCGATGTTCTCTCTCATCGATGTTTCTATCTCTCTCTCCCTCTTCCTTTTTCTCTCCAAAAATCAATAAAGAAAAAGAAATTTAAAAAAAACACAATAATTTACAGGGAATCAATAGTAGAGTAGGTGAAGCCAAGAAGCAGATCATCGACTTGGAATATAAGGAAGCAAAAAACACCCAATCAGAACAACAAAAAGAAAAAAGAAAAAAAAAAAAGAGGAGCCCTGGCCA